TCTCAAATACTTTATAATAATCTATAAACTTACAGAATAACAAATACAATAATCTGAGTTTCTAAGCTGCTTTTATTTTATAATACACTATCATCTCAGCAGTCAGAACTCAATGACAGATGCTCTCTCATAACAAGAACAAGATATGCTGTTCAATGTAACAGATACATGCTGAATGAATTGAGAACATCAACTCTTGAATCTGAAGATATTAATTAATCAAGGTAGAACAACTCATGACACTATACACACTTCTTCCATTAGAACTGCTACTGACACTGACACTGACACTGACACTGATATCTCAACTTCTCTCAAATCTATACTGAATGAATTATGACATGTAACAGCTCAAACTGATGAACTTCTTCAAGCACTCACTGAAGCAGTATATCAAGAAGCACTCTGATTTCTCTCAGAACTATGTACAAGAACTGATATCTCAGAATACTCAATCAATGATAATAACACTCTATGATTCTGTGAACAATATTGAGTCTCTCACTTCAAACTCTTACATACTTAGATAATGTAAGAGATGCATGATTCATATATAACTGATCACTCAGATTATAAATAACTGTATAGAATGATCTCTCAAGAGTTCTACTGATCTGAGATATTAAACAGTATCAGACACTTTGTCTGAAACTGCAATCACTGATCTTTCATTATCTTATAAAAGAACTGTAGAAAAGATCTACTGAAATCACTCAATATCTCTGATAGAATCTGATGAGATATAGTGATTGACTTCACTGTTAATCTATCTAAGAGTAAGAGTTATAAGAACATTCTGATCATTATTAATTAACTAAGTAAAGATATAATATTAAAACCTTATAACAAGATAAATATTAAAAAAGTTACTAAAGTCTTCTTACAGAGTTCGTTCTATTAGATACATAAGTTGTTAAGATCTATTATATCAGACTGAGATTATTAATTTATAAACACTCTCTGAACAAGAATCTGTCAAGTTCTCAAGATTACATATTATTTGTCAACTATCTATCACTCTGAGACTGATAATACATCAGAACATATAATTCAGACTGTAGAGAATTATCTTTATAAGTTCTATAATCACTTATAAGATGATTGACATAATCTTCTTCTACATGCAGAGGTCACTATTAACAGTTGAGATGCTGTTTTAACATATATAAGCCTGTTCTTTCTTACACACAGATACTACATGAAAGTGTTGAATCTTCTAGAGATTACACAGTTCACACTGAATTCTCATAGTTCAATTCAGATCACTGATAATATAGTAATAAAGCTCCGAGACACTCATAACTGAGCAGAGGTCTTCATGATAACTGTGAAACAAGACTAAGAAGATTAAATCAATATCTGATAAGATTTCACAGAGTAATATAAGATAGAAGATCTTGTGTGATTGAATCTCAAGAATATATGAATCACATGTTCATCTCATACACTAGATTACTGCTATGTCAGGTATAAAGTGATAGAAGTTCTAGATAGTCACAACTACTGTCTTGACATATCATCAGAAATTCATAATGTCTTTTACATAAGCTTGCTCTGTCATGCTGTCACTGACTCATTCTCTTCTCAACTGACTTTCAACTGACAGCTGCCAGGCATTATAGAAGAAGATAATGAGCTTGAGTAAGAGATTGAGAATATTCTCAATGAGAGACCTCACAGTCACAGTTAATAATATCTTATAAAATAAGTCAGATATAATTACTCAATCTGAACTCTGAGTTCTGCATTATCTGAAACAGTAGTTCTTGACTGATAAGAACTGCTTCTGAAAAGAGAGAGCTAATGTGACAGGCTGCACCTGATCAATTATATAGACTATTTTATTACACTTCACAGATTTCAACTGCTTCATTCTTAAACACATACACGTCAATTCTCAGCTATTCTCAATCACTGATTCTCAGCTGTTACTAACATGTATAGATTCTTCTGTCTCAAAGCTTCACTATGTACATTACTACATACATGTATAAATATTCACTTCAATTACTGATTCTCACACTTTCTCTTTCTTTTTCTTCTCTAATGTTTTTCTCTTTGTTATATAAGATCTATCAATATCATATCAATCTATTCAGTGTAGATCTCTTATAAATCTCTTACTACAGATCTATAATCTGATTTTCTCTATTCTTATTAATAGTAATTGTATTGATGAAGCTCTTTATAGTGAATGCTTGATCTGCAGTGAATATCATTTATTACTTAGCTTTTATCTTAGTCTGCTACTATATACACAAGATCTTAATCTTGTTTAGAATTCTTATACATGTACAGAGTTTTACTTTCAGTTCAGCAGTCTTAGCTGCTTTTCTTACTACTTTAAGTAAATTCTCTAAGAGATTCTGCATATCTTTCAGTTCAGATAGCAGAGAAGAATGTTATTTCTATTAACTAAAAAAGATATTCATTTCAGTGATTTCTTATTAATTGTATGATATCTATTATTATATTATTATATTCTTATATTATTATATAATTTCTGATTTCTGTTTTCTGTTATTATTATATAACTTCAGTGATAATTATCTCTCTTTTATTCTTCTTAATAGAGAGTGATCTTTTTTGAATCTGATTCACTGCTTACATTCTCTTTCTCATATCTTATTTATTTACATATATGACATTTATCTGAGCGTGAAGTTTTTTCTTAATAAGCAGAGTAGTATTAATTAAATACTCTTCTTCTCATTACTTCTTCATATACTATCTTTTAAGATGTTTAAAATCACTCTGATATGATAACTATAAATCACTTCATAGATGAAATTATTATACTCTGAAGAAGTCTGCACTTCTCACTGATTTTTAAACATGTTATCAGATGTGATTCAAAGATTGCTTGAGTCAGTGTATAATTACAGATATACACTAGCTTCTTATATATATTATACTAAATTAATTAGTGGCTGCTATAATCTCTTTATATTTATAAGCATGTTTGAAAGCAGCTGTGTTATTATCGGATGATCATACATTCTTCTAAATCACATATTTATTAAAGATAATACTGAATAATATTCTATTACTTATTAATACTATCTGATCTAATATAGCTTATAATAAGTTATAATATATTTTTAATATTTATTAAAAGTATTTACTTTAATAATGACTTTTAAAGCTGCTATTGTAACTGACTTATACATTTTCTTCAATCTCTCTTAACTATATTTAATACAGTTAATGAGATATTGTTCAACTCAGCTGTTAAAAAGAAGTATTATATAATTAATTCAGAAGTTGTTAAAAGATTTCAGAAGTTATTAGAAGTTAATATACTATATAAAATTATCAAGAGTTCAGAAGTTACTAGAAGTTATTAAAAGTTATTAAAAAATATACTCAGTACTTTAACTATAGTCTCTGATAACTGAATAGATATTTTAATAATAAGATTAAGATATTGAATAACTAGACTGACCGTGTGACCGTGTCTGAGACCAGGATCAGATTTTTTGATAGTCTCATTATCAATTTGACTGATCTCATTACATGGTTTTAACATTAGATAGTAGTTCTATACTGTCTCAGTGAGACTTACTGTCTACTCTTGTCACATTTTCCAAATGAGACCATGATTTTCACTTCTCAATTTAAATTATTTTTATTGCTTTAAATGACTTTAAATCTCATTTGAGTGTTATCAAAAAGTGTTACTTTTTAAAAAATTAAAAATAGTCTAAAAAAAACCTTAAAATGTCTAAAAATAGTAACTTTATGTCAATAATAGAACTAAATGAGACCAAATGAGACCACTTTCTCATTTTTTTCAAGTCATGGTTCCATTTTAAGATCTGATATATAGTCACTTTACATGTTTTTTTAATAGCCAGTCCCAGCGGGATTCACGCCAAGAAATGTATGAGACCAGATCAAATGAAATCAAATGTGAAATTCATGGTCCCGGCGGTCAGTCTATGAATAACTAGATATAATTATAATTGAAAAATTAGTAAATCATTTTCATATTTAAAATCATAGTAGTAGTTTTCAATGTAATACTTTATACTTAGAATATATATATTTTCAGATAAAAATTACATTAATCAATAGAAAATTGAAAAATTAATTCTTTAAAATAATAAAGAAATAATCTATAAGTAATATTATACAGTGATTCTATCTTAAATATTATAATTAAAGTAAATTATTTCTATGTTACTAATAAATAAGAACTGTTTTTTATTAGATACTTTATAAAGAGTTTACTGAGAATGTCTTATTTAGATTTAGTAAAAGCTCTGTGACAGTTGATTGACTCAGATGTTAGCAGGACTTGGCAGAAAGTAGCAGTAGTTCATATTGAGTTAGCTTGAAGTGAAGTGGCTGAGTTTACTGAGATAAGCTTCACTTCACATCATTAACAAATTGAGAACCTGGAATAAGTCACAGCAGATCAATCTTCATCAATCAATCAATCAATCAAATCACAGTCACAGCAAACATTTATTTAGCTATCAGATATCTCTTCTCTCCCTCCCTCTCTTCTCTTCTTTCTCTCTTTTGCAGAGTGAGACATCAAACAAAATGTCAGAAAATTGTAAGGATATCTTGATCAGTGTGTTAATTTACTAATCTTGCATATATTACATGTCTGTTGTATTTCTAGAAGAAACACCACAGAACAATAATGCATCAGTAGAAACTAACATCTGAAACTCACTCACTCAATCAATGCCTTTGTTCCCGTCCATCTTACAGTTACAGCTCTTACCCCCTCTCGCCTCAACCCTACCTACCTCCCTCCCCCGCAACGAAACAAAAGCAACACCCGGCCCATACCATACCATACCATGTGGTTTGATTGGTTGGTTGCACCCACCAATGACAGCCATCTCCTCTTATTGTTCTGCCCTGTTTTGCTTTGTTTCTGTTTCGTTTCAACGATGATGATGAAAATTCGCCGCCCCTTTTCTTTCTCCAGTATAAACCCTCCAACCACGCTCGAGAGGAGGAAAAAGGAAAAAGGAAAAGGACAGAATAATAATATAAATATATATATATATGTAACTAACTATATATGTCCGCGGCGGGAATATAAAAAAATAAAACAAAAGAATAAGAAAAGAGTAAAAAAATAAAAATAACAAATCATCAATCAATCAGTCGCAATCAACCCAAATTCAACCAAAAGCTCAACGCCACTTTGGACCTTTTTTCTTTCTTTCTTTCTTTCTTTCTTCCTTTCTGTTCCCTTACTCTCTCAACCCTCCTTTCCTTTCTTTTCTTTTCCCCGTTTACTCCCGTTTACTCCCGTCATTTCCAATCTCATCCATCCCATCCGCCTCGTGATCCCTTCCTGGAGCCTGGCCTCTTGCCGGGGTATTGACATTTCTTTCGTGCTTTGTCGCGAGGGGAAACAAAACAACGATGGGACCAGAATCAAGTTAACTCTCTTCTTCTCTTGTTCGTCCCATGGGCATAGCTCATTCCATGAAATCAAACAGTGATAAAAGAAAAGTGGTGAGGTTACGTTTTGTTCTGTTCAAGGAAGCCAGAACGGAAAAAAAAAAGAAGGGAAGGAAGAAATTTTTTGGAAATGAAGACCGGCAAAAAGGTGACAAAGAGAATGGAAACCAAGGGAGACGGAAGAAAAAGGATAATGAACAGGAGAAAACAAAGCGAGTGAGAGGCAAGAAACGGCGGTAATGGTAAAAGAGAGAGAGCAGAAAGAAAAGTAAAAGTAAAAAGCCGAAAAGTTGACGATGAACGATGTAAATTGGATTGACGACGGATGCGATGAGGGAAGGAAGCTAGCCCCCTCCCGAGTTAAAACCACTACTACAATTTTTTGCAGAGAAAGAAAGAATAGAATCAACAGCAGTAGTAGCATCAGCAGAGGCATCAGTAGCAAATCTAAGCAACAGCCATCTGAGCACCGTTTGGCCGGAGGACGTTCTGAGCATATCTGCCGCCGAAGTTACCTGGGGAAGGGAAAAAAAAAAAGGTATTCGTTAGCATACAATCCCCCAATGGAAAAGTAGACAAAAATGTAGAAAGGATAATTAAAAAAACATACCAGGAGGCCCATAGTTGCAAACGGTATTCCAGCGCAGATGGTTTGAGCACTTGACAGTAGCGCAGCCGACAACGGTAGTGCCCTTCCACACGATCTGGGTGAAGTGACCCCATTTCGAGAAGTTGCTCATGTCTGGGTTGGCTTGGCCGTACATGCCAGCGAACAGGCCAGCCTCGTCGTTGTACATCATGTTTGTAATCATCTTGCCGATGTCCTGGGGTGGGATGCCGTAGCCGATGTTTTGGCCGTAGGACTCGCCGCCGACGGAGCTGGGAGAGGTGTCAGTTCACATTTGGCTTCCTTTTCTTTTTCATTTCATTTTTTTCCTCATTAGGGAATAAATTGTCTACTCACGTATCATGTTCGAAGACGCATTTGGAGGCAACGGTGTGGGCGTAGCTGGCCAGGTTGTTGGCCCAGGTGAGGGCGGGCGCGGAGTGGTTGGAGCGATGGATGTTGTGGTGGTAGAGCACCTTGGATTGGTAGTCATTGCCGTAGGTTGGGGGGGGAGGAGGAGGCTTGTTCACTGGCTCCTTTGGTGGTGGTTGAGGTTTGGGCTGGGGCTTGGGCTCGGGCTCGGGCTTGGGCTCGGGGGCAGGAGGGGGGGCAGAGCCCTCATCCTTGGGGGGAGCATCAGGAGCAGGCGCCGGGGGAGGAGTGGGAGTGGGAGTGGCAGCGCCGGCAGTTACGTATTCGGTGACGGTGACGATGGTGAGATCGGTCTCGTAGGCTCTGGGCAGGAGCGGGGAGGAGAGCGCACCGGCGGCCAAGAAGGCAGAGAGGAGGAGGGAGGATCGCATGGTTTCTAGTTTCTGATATTTGAAATTGTCTTGCTCTTTTCCTTTTCTTTTTCTTCTTCAATTGTTTCCCTTCTACCCAAGTAGGAGAGATATCAATAGAATATAAAAAAAAATTGTCGGGGTCGTAGGGGACGTCGTCGTCAAGTCGTCGTCGTCGGGTGTTGGGAATATCAGCCAGGACAATATAGGGGGTCACGAAGGAAGATTTAGAGAAACGAAGGACGCGATAATTGGCGACGTTCTTTGATGATTGTCTTTCTCTTTTGTAATTTCACACACACAGATCAACTGTGAGCGATGAGAGGGGGGAGGTGGGGGAGGGGAAGACAGAGAGGGGGAGTTGGACGGGCGGAGAGCAGAATCTGACCAAGGCAGACGGAAGAGAGTGTATACAGGTTTTCCTGGAGGAGGCAAGATTCTGACACACGCGAAAAGGAGTGACGAGAACAGCAAGGAGGCAAGCAGGTTGGCAGGCGCACTTTGAAGGAGCGAAAAGTGCACAGCAACAAAAGGATGGAAAGCGAAGAAGAAGAAGAACAAGAACGCGGGAGAGCGGGCAGGGAAGAAGCCGAAAGGAGAGGCGGCGGTATATATGTAACTAAAGGAGAGGAGAGAGTAAGAGAGAATAATAGAAGAGAGAAGAGAAGAAGAGAAAGAAAGACATAACTGTGTCAGGAGGACTGGCTGATGTCCGTCGTCGTCTCCCAGCATAAAAGTGAACGAGGGATGTGAAATGAGCCAAGCCCGCGGGCTGGGCTGGGCTGCGATGGGCTGCAACCGGGCTGCAACCGGGCTGTTCTTAGGGTGTTCTTAGGCTGTGATAGGCTGCTATCGGCTGCTATAGGCTGCCATGACAGGCGGGTTCCTGGTTCCTGGCAGCGTGAAACAAGCCAGGAGCAGCCCTGGAAACCTGGAAACCCCCCGTCCAGCAATAAATAATACTAGATACGTCCATACATCCATACGTACCAACACGATGGGAACGGAAACACGAGGGATTGTTTCACTCTCATCAAAGTATACATCGTTTTCTCTTTATTAAACATCAAAGTTGACGCACACTATCATATTAATGAACAATACATACATACATTCCACTCGATGCCGGCATGGCATGTTCCTCCACATTAACTTAGCTCCTGAGATTGAGATTGACTCGGCGCCCGCCCATGGAAACAGCCCGTCTTAGCCAGGTACCGCAACCTTCTTGTATATACGGTACTGTGTCTGTACCAGGGTTTTCCAAGCGGCCTAGCCTCACACTAATCAGCCCCCGGCGCCCCACCGCCCCGAGCCTAATAAGACAGGCTACGTTCGTGCGTGCAGCTGCCAAGCGACACGGAAGATTAGCAGCTGCACGCCCGCTCACGCTTCCGTGGATATCAGATAGGGATTGGAGACCTCAGACAGATCAAGTCCTGTGGTGTGTGGAAGTCGAATACATATGTGTATATATATATATGCCTACAGCTTGATATCCTCGCTATTAACAGACATATGCTCATTACATCTACATGTACATGTACTGTGTACGTATACAGGATCTAGGTGTGTTCACAATCACCTGTCAGACTGATACATGCCTGGCCTGCCCCTCCCTCCCAGTCGCTGCAGTCAGGGGCCTGTCTTACCCAGCTTTCCAGGACCAAGTCCCTGCCAACCACGCCCTGGCTGCTGGCCCGTTTGCACCCACTGCCGCCCCTCCCTATTATTGGCTGGCCTCGTTAAATGAGAAATGTGCTGGTCGTTTTTTATTTTCTTTTTTTGTTTCTTGGTTTTGGTTTCTGACAAACCTGTATTCCGTTTACGCAGTTTATTTTACAACTCCAACTAGTTGTCACAGTACGGAGTACAGAGTATGCGCTGGACCCTTGCTGTGATGTGATGACGGTGATGTGTTTCTCTGCCAGCCAGTTAAGTTACGGAGTAGTTACGCTGTACGCAGCGCACGTGTACAGTCCAGTCAACACCGATCCCGACCAATCAAGTTAGCCTGTCCGTTTTCTCTCGTCTCATTTGATGAATAATGAATGTCTTGCATCTCACGCAAGTTGGTGGGATTTGAGATTTGTATTTGGGATTTGGAAGGTCTGTTAGTTTTGGCCTGCTGTTTTGTAAGAGATTTTTTATCCAGTACAACCCATCTACTAATAACTGACTCCTTCCATCATATCTTCAAAGAGGACGATAAATAATTTTTCCCAACAATGCGAAACAATTCCCTCCTACTCCGTACGTACAACTTTTTATCAATACCATTGTCATGCAAGAGAAGAAGGGAAAAAAGCCGAAACGGCATTCGTTTGTCCAACCGCCCTACAGCTCCTGTCCGTTTCAGACCAACAAAACCTGTCCACGTTCATGGGATTTTTTCTTTTTTTTCTTCTCTCTCTCTCTTTTTTTTTTTTTTTTTTTTTTTTTCCTTGTAACTAGTTAGTGGTGGACCTTACTTGCCCCCACCACCAAGAATTAAGATCAAGGATGAAACAATCCCACAAAACCATCCATATCCATATCCTGGGGAAATACTTCAAAAACGAGTTTTTAGTAGCTAGCTAACTTGCATGAATAATAATGGAGTGATGTATGTACTGTACATGTGAAGTACAACCTGTCAAGCACCGAGGAAACATAGAAGAAGGGAGATAAAAAAGAAGAAGCTGAACCTTCCATGAGCCGTCAGTAGTTATCCTTTAACAAGTTAATGAATGCACATATAGCGTACGGAGTACACGTACAGTACATGTGCTACCTACCCTACCCGGCCCGACCGGGTAACTACTACTAGGTAGTTAGGGCCTACGGGCCTTTGGAGCCCCGACTGATCGCCATCATCAATCTCGTTTATCCACAAGAGAGAGATTAATTGTAGTTAGATGGATCGAGGAATTGGCCGAAATCTTGCCCCGTCAAATTCCTTGTCCTTTTTCCTCTTTTTTGCCTTTCCGGTGTCTGGGCCCGCGAATATACTGTATCATGGGGTATGAAATTGTTGCTCCTGCCATTCCCCTCGCCGTTTCAAATAACCTGGTTCTGATCTTGCCTAGGATTATCTACTCTCTACGGAGTATGTATGTATATATACACACCAGACATCATCTCATCCATTATCACAATAGATATAGCGTATGTCATCTGTCTTCACCTCATCCCAACAAATGTGAGACGGGAGATTGATGGTGATCATGATGGCGGCGATGATGATGTGCTAATTGAGCAAGATAAAAAAAGCCAAAGCTCGTCGACTGACCAGGCTAGACTAGATTTGCCTGATGGAGTTGAAAAGTAGTCATTGACCGGTGTAGAAAAGCAGGATGAAGAGAATGAATTAATGGAAGAACGAAATACTTCTGGTTCTTCTTCTTTCTTGCCTGCTTGCCTGCCTGCTTGCCTGCTTGCCTGCTTGCTCTCTGACCACATCTGAGACCGTATATAAACAGGAGAGGGGGAGGATTTTGAGCCAAGCAGCCTGCCCACAGATCATCTTTTTTTAAAAGACCTAGTTTTTTGATCAAACTCCCTTATCACTACTGCAGCTTCGGATCTATACTTACCAGCAGCAGGATGCAGCGAATTTTTTACATTTGAGACAGCGCCCAGAGAACCCAATAATGCATGCGTTTTTGACAAGGATTAAGCAAGTTACAGTACTTGTTTGAGCAAACCCATGGGAGATGATTAGGTAGTTAGACAGTGATTCTACACAACAACATGCGAGTTGAGAAATTATTGTACAGTACATACATACGTACGGATTAGATAGATAGGTAGGAGTATGAATACATATTGGAGTGGTTGCATCATCATGACATAGCGAACCGAAATAATCCAAACACAAAACCGAAAACTAAATAAAATAAAAAATAAAAATAATACCAGGTTCAAACTTGTTGGTTAGGGTCAGCGCTTTTTGTTCTCTTGCGTCTCACTTGCATCTCAAATCTCAAGTCTCGATATTTTCTCTCTCCCCTCAGCCTGCTGGTTGCAGTTATTTTATCAACCCAAAAAGGAAAAAAGAAAGAAAAGAAAAAGAAGAGGGGTTGAAATGAGACCCAAAAAAAAATAAAAAAATAAATAAAATAAAAAAAAAACCTCCAACTGTTAAACATTTAAAACATTAAAAGTCCGTTTAAAGCATATACAAACCCCCTTTTAGATATCAACAACCCGGCACGACCCCGCCTCGCAGACAAGCAAGTAATTCTTCCCAGGCCGTACATCCCTCAGTAAAATATTGCGTCTCCGCAACCAGCTGGATTTCCGCACGCTATCTGACACAGCAGCATCACTATCGCCGGCGGTGCGTACATCGATGATAGAAACGGCCGCAGTGGACGTGGACGCAGCCGCCCCGGCCTCCGCGCGTGCCCTGCGAATAACCACCTCACGCGCTAAGAGAGGAGAGGCCGCTACTACCGGCACGGGCACCGGCGCCGCCTCGCCCGCGGCATTCTCCTCCATCTTCATCTCGACATCGCCCGCATCCTCGCCTTTAGCTTCAGCGGCTTCGCCCTGATCACTCTGCCCAATCACGCCCACAATCCCCTTCACGCCCACCTCTAGCCCGACAATGACATCCAGCAGCCCGACGAAGAGGAATGGGTGCTGCATGATCTCCACTGCGAAGGCGTTGACGGTCTCCCGCGCCAGGCGCTTGTAGGTGTCGTCTTCGAGGAGGGTGGAGAGGCGGAGGAGGTTTTGCGCTATGACGCCGTTGGGTGAGGGGGTTGAGGCGTCTGTGCCGGTTTTGAGACGGAAGAGCGGGGCGGGGTGTGCGGAGGCTTGATGGATGGTTGAAGGGGTGGTGTAGTAGCCTGTAGAAGAGGATGGGGCTGGGGTGGATTCGGTGGTTGTGCTGGTTCTTGGGGAGGGGGTAGGGGTAGGGCCTTGGGCGAGGAAGTATGTGTTTAGGTATTCTGATAAGGGGGGAGTGGTTGTTAGATTGATCAGTTTTGATAGGACCACATTATTTATATCGAGGGTGGGTGATTTTTGTGAACTTACGTTGTAGCTGCTCTGCAAATTGCAGATAGCCATCATCAAACGTCGCTTCGTAGAGATCAATAAGTCCAGAGGCGAGATATGAATAGTCGTCAGCGAAGCCGGGAGTATCCCCCCTCTCACCGTCGCGGTAGATGCGCCAGAGTTGACCGGATGCAGGGTCAAAGAGGTTCTGCCTGATAAACTTCGCTGCGTTCTCCGCGGCCAGCCTGAATTCCTGTGCCTTGGCTCTATCCACATTCTCAAGTACAACACTACATTTGGCCAGCGCGCCGATGGCAAGCCCGTTCCACGAGACGATAATCTTATCATCTAGCCCTGGACGCACCCGCTTGCTCTCGCGATATTCACGCAATTTCTCTCTAGAGGCCTTGATAATCTTAACAACCTCCTCCTCGCTTAATCCGAACTCCTTCGCAAGTTTTGCGGGGGTAACTTTGATGCTGAGAACGTTTTGGTTTATGAACTCATCATGTGGATCATTTCCTCGCGCGACGTTTCCATCTGGTAACACCCCCCAGTGACGAGCACATACGTCCGCATCTCGCTGGCCAAGAATCTGTTTGAATTCCTTATGTGTCCAGACGTAAAATGCCCCTTCTCTCTTGTCCGTGTCGCTCGGGGTGGGTAGGCTGTCCGCGTCTTCTGATGAATAAAAGCCACCTGTCGGTGACAATATTGGCGGACTTGTGATATATGTTGCGATATCATATATGGCACCCAGTAACTCTGGGTTGTGAGCAGAGTCAAAAGCGTCAACGTAAACATTCAGCAGCTGGGCTTGGTCGTAGAGCATTTTCTCAAAATGGGGTAGACTCCAGTCTGCCGTTACGCTATATCGTGCAAATCCATGTCCGATCTGGTCATGGATACCTCCCCGGGACATGTAAATAAGGGTTTTGGTAGCCATTTCAAGAGCACGGGCGCATTCATCATACCCAACAATGTCGGAGACGGCACTGGGATATCTAGAAAGATTAATCAGGAAGCTCAAATTGGCCGGAGTGGCGAATTTAGGTGCTCTGGAGAATCCCCCATTGACAGGATCAAACCGCGACGCAAAATGCTGATACGATTCCTCCAGCAGCTCAACCTCAAGATCCTCATCCGCATCCGCAGCCTTCTGCTTAGAGTGGGTACCCTCTTCTGCAAATTCACGGAGCTGCTTCGTAATATCTTTTGCACTTTCACGACACCTCAATTGTTGTGTCTGCCACACATCTCGCAGCTTTTCTAAGATGTCGATGAAGGTAACATGCCCCTCTCCGCCGAGTGCGGGCAACGTACTGGAATGTGGACCCGGCCAGTATGTGCCTCCAAAGACCGGTTCTAGATCCGGCGTGAGGAAAACGTTTAACGGCCACCCGCCAGAACCAGTGGTGGCCTGCACATAGTTCATGTATACTTCATCGATATCTGGGCGTTCTTCTCGGTCCAGTTTTATAGGGATAAATGACTTGTTCAGTATTGCCGCAACTTCAGGAGACATAAAAGACTCTTTCTCCATAACATGACACCCTAAGTCCGAATGTGTCAGTTACGTCGCTGCTTCCAGGGTACAATAACAGGATCGAGTTACCGACAGTGACATGCAGAATATCCAATACTCAGGAAGACCATGCGGTTGAGTTTTTTAGCTAAGGTAATTGCTTCTGAATCCCACATTTGCCAGGCGACTGGGTTATTCATGTGGCCGCGAACCTAGACGAAGAAATTAACACACTTTTTCTATTTGCGTAATAGCTATTCCACCCTTTCTCATAGATTGGTGGGTGTATTCACATAAGGCGATTTGCTCTGACTGAGGCGATTGACAAGCTCATGCGCCAGTCCAGTTCCCGCCCCCGCCTCTGATGCTCGTCTCTGCGATAAGGAAGCCATGCCGACGGTTGCCCTGAAGTTTCGTACAGAGGACCGTCTTCCAATTTTATAAAAATTTATCCTTGCAGCCGAAGATATAATGTTCATAGAACGGATACGTTCCCGTGTCAGTATATATGCGTTTGATCTGAGTGACGATTGTTTAGTACAGTACAATGGTTAATGCGGCCACCTGGTAGCGCCTTGGCGTGGGAAACCAAGGCGAGTGGGTTCGAAACCCGCAGGGGATACATTAAATCCGGAACTCAAGCACCTCAGGTTCCTAATAAATACAGAGGTGTACAAATCGCTCCAACAAATCGCTCTATGTTCCTGGGATGGGAAGTTATTATCGCATGTATTTAATTGTCACTCCTTTGTATTTCCTATGTTCTTGTTATCTTGGCGTGGTCTCAACACCTGTATTTCCTCCTGTATAACCAACACTTGGCCTGTATTTAACATCACGCAAGGACCCATCATAAGCTCCGCTTGCATATGAGTATAATGGAAGAATAATAATAATAAATAATAGTACAGTACAATGCAGACAGGGCTTCAAGTGTAGGGAGTTGGCAAGGTGCCTCAGTGGAACTGAGGGGAAACTCGTTTGTGCTTATTCTTTGTTTTAGCTGTACTCTCCAGCAACGTAGAAGTGCAAGATATAAAAAAAATGATAAGGTGAGGATATTCCGGCCCTCATGCCAATCCTATGCCTTGAGGACGGTTGGATGGCTCCAGCGAAAAGTGATGACTTGCGCTAAGAATTTAAGCTGAAATGCTAATACCGGCATTAAGTATTGCCGTTCCATCCCTTAATTAAGAGGGTAGGGAGTCTCTAGGGGCTTATAGAGGCCAATGCGCCTAGCTTGCCTAGCTCACTGCCTAAATCCTAGGTGGTGTGGCCTGGAGATTTATTACACTAGTAAGCATATTTCAGTATAAATTCTTAGTGTGGAGACAAAACTTTTTGCAGGGACTCGTACGGAGTACTTCAGTTTAGATAACGGCAACATCGGGCTGAGGAAATCCAATGACGGGAACTGCCCAACTGTAGGCTACTGGGGCAAAAGAGCTCAGTCACCACCAGCGCACTGCTGGTAGAAGGGCCGATCAACCCGGGGACCCTAGCACGTGATATAAATTCTCACCCCACTGGAGAGCTTCGGGTTGCGCCCGAACTGCACAGGATACGATACCATATTAAACAGAATGAGTATTTGTATTTTATTCATTTCTACACAATGCAGCATGGATGAAGACCGTTTGATGATACCCTTGCGGGCTTGTACTGGAAGGCTTCCCCACCCACCATTTACAACGAATTGCTGTGTCTGATCAGAACATAGCTGTAGAAGAGGATTTAGTGCGTAGTCCACATAACAAGCATCTGGCGCAGGGATTCAACAGGGAGACATTAGATTTTATCTTTCCATTCATGAATATCTTTCATATTTCTTCACAAGTATTTACCGAAATCTAGTCGTGGCCCATCAATTCCGCAAGTTCTCTCTCCTCTTCCTCCGTTAATAGTGATGTAGGGATATCATTCACCTCTTCGTCCTCCTGAGCTGTACTTTCAGCCTTTGCTTTGGCCGCTTCAAGCTGAGTTGGGTCAAGCGACCACTGTCGTATCGTGGCATCAATGCTGATACTAACAACAGTTGACCCAACTAGTAGGAGCCCACTAACTTCTTCAAAATGGCCAGAGTATGTATGGTGCAATTTTCCAGTCTTCAGCCAGTTAGCAAACGAAATATACCTGAAAGGAAGACGAGAGGAAAAAAGCTGCTAACTCACCGCACGATTCCACACGCGCACTTCCTCATCCCGACATCCCGTTACCACCCAGCCGCCCCGTTCATGCACAACAACATCCCTGACAAAGTCTGGATGTTCTAACGTCATATCTGTTTTCCATTTCGACTCCCTAGAGATGCATTTGGCAGTTTTATCCGCCGAAGCTGTCCATAGGTCGCCATCTGCATCGAAGAAAAGCTTATAAACGCTTGTCTCATGTTCCAGGATTGGTTCTGAAAGGGACTGTTCCTTGAATGGGGCGGAAAGTGGGAAATGTCGAATGCTACGATCACTTCCTGAACTGAAGACAGTAATTCGGGTCGGGTCTTCATCGGAAACAAGAGGGTCGATGGCGAGGTGTAGCACTCCACGGCTATAATCTCTAAAGACATGTAATCTTTCACCCGTGCGGATGCTCCAGATTATGATTTCACCATCGGCGCCGCCGGATAGGAGTAAATCCTCACCATCAAGCCTCTGGGATACGACGGTCTTTACGAAGTCGGCGTGGCCCTTGTATCTCTGTCTTAGCGTTCGCGAAGCAACGTCCCAGCTCCATATCGTCTTATCCCAGCACCCAGCAAAGATAGTTGTGCCGTCGGGGGAGAAGCAAATACTCGTTAATGGGGCAGTCGGCCCCCGATAAAGTGCTGTAGTTTTACCTGTCTTTTAACCCAGATAACAATCAGCTTCGAAGGAGGTTTGAAGACAATAAAAGTAAAAAATAAAAACACATCTCTACCCATACCATGACCAACACGGATTGTGCTCACCTACTTCAAGCACCACTTTTCTGAGAAGCCCTGCACTCTCAGCAACGTAGATAGAGGAGTTGCTGGAGGGATCAGCGACAATTGCTAGTAGTTTGCTTTGAAGTTTGATAGGGTCTCCATTCGAATTTTCTGATTTCTCAGCCTTGCGACGGATTTCCTCCAGAGAAGTGCTCGGGGGAAGTCAGCATCCTGGCCAACTTCAGCTGCGGTATGGGGGGTAGAAGGGAAGACCAACTCTGTCTGAAAGAAGTCATCCCGATGTGAAGACTGAGCCATCGTTGCAAAATAACCCTTCACCTAGAGGCTCACAAAGCCACCTGGGATATCCAGATTGTTAAAATTCCAGTCGAATTGTGTATCCCTCTTTACACTGTGAATTGAGCAATCTTCCTCCCGCCAGGACCCCGCTATATATGGAGAGACAAACAGTACAAACAGCGCTAGTCCTGACTAGGCTAGATCTCCAGCTGCTCAAGCGGCGCTTCCGCCTTCCCGTAGCGAGCCTTTTTCCACAACCAAAACGAGCTCTGCTGGATTTTCACTTCATCTTCCCATCTTCCATCTTCCATCTTCCATCTTCCATCTTCCTCTTCTCCTTCGCTTCCTCTATCCACACAACCTACCCCCATCTCCCTCCACCCCCCTTAATTCAGCTCTCAAATTCGCCTCTCTCACACAATCCCCTCCTGTTTTCATTACCTGTTGTCTTCTTCCGTTGTTCGCCTCGTCGCTCCTCTGGCGTTCGAAGTACTGTTCTCTTTCCGCTGAGTTGCGCGACTACGCGCAGAACCTTCATTCATCATGGATATGAACCATTTCATAGGGTCCGTCATTCCCCGATTCCCTTTTTAATCACGCAGCTAAAGGTTCGGGTCTTGAAACTAACACGAGGCCGATAGACAGCGATTTAACTTGATATCGAAGAGTGATATTCGGTTCGAGCGGCTCCTTGATCCCGTTGCTGATCCGTAGGCTCTGGAGCTGACTGGTGTCACAGCTACGTTGGCACTCTCCATGAAATAAACCCAGAGGACTCTACCATTGCCCTGGAAAATGTCATTTCACACGGCACTGAAGGTAGACGTGGCAATCCTGCAGAGGAAATTGCACCGTCTACTAGCGTGTACGAATATATTGTCTTCCGTGGAAGTGACGTAAAGGATATTAGTGTTGCAGAGGAGCAGAAAGAAAACCAGCAACCCGAACCTCCTCAAGTGCCGAATGATCCTGCTATCCTTGGTGTAAGTTAAACCGTACTTTTACTTCCCTTATAATGGTGATTCGTCGTCGAAAACCCACCTAGCCGTTGATCTTATGATGAAACATTCCGGATGTAAATCACAGACCTGTTCTGAAAGCGCAAAACCCCATGTGGATTCTTTCCGTTGCCTTCCTTCTGATCAAGATCTTATGTTATTTATCTCCCTCTTACTACTGCTTTGAAGTCATTGATCCATGATTAACCAAAAGGATTGACAGAGTGGAACGCGACCAGCACCTGCCCAAGGGCCTCCTCGTGGCCAATCAAATCAGTTTCCCCCTCCACCCCCTGGTGCGCGTCAACCACCCCCTGGCTATCCTCAACAACCTCCGTTCCCCGGATATTATAATCCGTATGGGCAGCGGTTTGGCCCTCCCGGTTTTCCTCCTGGTCCTGGTTTTCCTAATGCTCCTTACGGTGCTCCGCAAGGATGGTATCCTCCTCCTGGCCAAGGCTTTCCACAGCCACCTGGTCAATTCCCACAGCCACAAATGCCCATTGGCCCTCCTCAACAGCCCCAGCAAGGACAGCAGCAGCAACGTGCTGGCGGTCCCCAACCTCCCCAGCCGCCAAGTGCACCAAAGCCGACCTCAGAGCTCCCTGTTGGTGACAAGGTGCCTGGCAAACCCGTAACTCCAGCCTCCACCAAACCCCCTCCCCCAACAGAACCAAAGCCCTCCACCCCTAAATCCACTGCTCCTACCACTCTCCCAACGATAGCGCAGAAACAAGCTGCAGCAGCTCCAGTAGCCAGTGTAGCGCCCATTTTGCCAGCTGCAGTTGCAGCTACACCGGCATCTAGCACCCCTTCCAAAACCCCACTTGTTGGGCCAAAAGTTGGAAGGGTTGTGCCTGCTATACCTATTTCAAAACCAGCTGTTCCCAGTATAACCGCTGCAACTGTTACTGGTACCTCAGGTAGCGCTACTACCCAGTCGCCTGTGCAAAATACCCGAGCTACGTCCACAGCGATGCAGGACGCAACCCGGGCGGCTACCGCTGCTGTGGCCGCTGCGATGGCCAAACTTCCTCAGCCTCCCACCCAGGGCTCACAACCGGGCGATCCAGCGGTTGAGACAGTAACCAAGAAGGTGAATGAGATGAAGCCGTTTGACGGGGATCGGGCTCCTCGTGGTGCACATCAAAACACTCGCGGCGGTCGAGGTGGTCATCGTGGAGGCCATCACCATCCCCAGCCTAAGAAAGTTGAAGTTCCCACCACTGATTACGATTTCGAGTCAGCAAATGCCAAATTTAACAAACAAGACCTCGTGAAGGAAGCAATTGCTTCTGGCTCTCCACTTGGGGAATCCGAACATCACGCAGTGAACGGGGCGAACCCTACTGAAGGTGCAGACAAAATTAATGGGACTGGAGCTCACGTAGCCTATAATAAAGCGTCTTCATTTTTTGATAACATCTCGAGCGAAAGCCGTGATCGTGAAGAAGGTGCGCGTGGCAAGACGAGTGGTAGAGAGTGGCGCGGTGAGGAGGAGAAGAAGAATATTGAGACGTTTGGCCAAGGAAGTATCGATGGTGGCTACCGTGGCGGATATCGAGGACGCGGAAGAGGTCGGGGCTATGGTGGACTTCGTGGTGGTAGAGGCGCCTACACTCGAGGCTACACTGGTGGACGTGGACGAGGAGGGTTCCGTGGGGGGAGAGGTGCATCGCAGGCCACCGGAGTTCCAACTTCGTCATAGTCCCTACCGTCTCACTTTCGACATTGTTCTCCCTCCCGCCAATGGATGATCCCGGTTTCTCAATGCTTTATCAAATCGGTATTCCCCTCTTGAACAACGTTTGCTACAATGCTAGGGAGAACAAATTTTTTCAATACTTGACGAATAGCGTTTCTTTCCTAGTGATGATTTGAAATTTTGGAACCTCAGGGTTCTCGCCTTCCTTTTTTCGCCTGTGATCTCCCCCGCTGACATTGAGAACTGTATTATTCCTTTCCCCCTTTCTTGTGTCCCTTCATTTTTTATTTTTTCTTGGTGGTGTACCTTTAATGTCCTGTTGTCTTTGGGCTCCGTCTTACATGCGAAAGTTTTTCTGGCGTTGGGCCATTTCCAACCCATTTCCCATTTCCCTGGGTGGGTTTTCTTTTGTTCGTTTGTGCTCTTCAAAAACGGCATATTCGCACGTAAATTGTGGGCTATGTACTTTGTCCTTTAACTTACTTCTTATGGCGTGCTATGGGAGCGGGGAGGTTTTAGCGATCTGCGAAATTGACGAAAGTTTTTTTTTTTTTTTTTTTTTTTTTTTGTTGCGAGGGAAGAAGAGGGAAGAAGAGGGAAGGACATTCTTCTTTAATTAACTATTATCATGGGATGTATTACCTACTTGCTATTTTATCTCCATTTCATGTGATCCTTTTTTTCCCTTTTTGCCTCTGATTCTAGCCACGAACTACCTGTGATATTTTTCGATTCTTGTTCGTGTTTATTATTTTATACTCCCATTCGCTAGTTTGTTTTTTCTTTCTTTTTTATCCTCCCCCGTTGCATTTATTTGCGTCCTACAATCATCCTTTTCGTTTTCCGCATTTGTCGTGCTTGATTTTCGTACTCTTTGTTCTCATCCACCCCCCTTTTCCGCTATATGTTTGTTCATTGATATGGGATGTGTCTATGCATTCAGGAGGCCATGATACATTGTGTGGTCTGGTATAAATTCTCTCTCCATCCTTTCTTTCAGAGGAAGTGAATTGGGGCTGTTTTTCACTCACTACACTATTTTGTTGTCTTGGTGCATGTTAAAAATATGTAATTTATACACAGACACAGTCACGAACACGGACACCACAACACCCCCTCCCCCCATTGGAAATTCGAAGAAAAACGAAAAATGCGGAGTCGATAATTCAGATTATATATGAGCTTATGAGCCTAAACGAAATATAATAATCATAAAAGTGGCCATTGTAATAGGGGTGTGCTATTCGACTTCGACATGAAAGGATCTTTGATTCTTCCTCCTATGTATTTTTGTTGTACTTTAAGAGAAATATCTAGCTGGGTATTAAGACCCGCTTTTGAATGTGTCCTCTACGCTGTATAGTTATGCCAAGTTACGGTGTTGCTTGAAGTGTTGTGTGGGAAGCTCTGTTTCACATGCACGCGAGCAGCCAGGGGTACAAACTCCTGGCAATCGAACAGAAGAAATACACCACTCTATAGCCGCCTTCAGCAAGTCGTTTTTTTCATAAATAGATGAGTACTAGTATCTTACTCTCTCCTGCTTGAATGCCATACGTATTTATACACATACTATCCATCTTGGTAGAAATAGCAAAAGAACGAAGAACAGAGTCACGATATTGCAACATGTGAAGAAGTTTCTTGCCGGAATGGATGACTAAGCCGCGGGCCGCAAGTCTGCTATTATTGAAGCCGCGGTTCGGAGCTGGAAAGTTTGGAGACGAACGCGGTTAACTTTCTGATAATCAACCCAGCATCATAATCATGCGCTCCTTTCACACTCAACACCGCCCCATCAGCCCTGCTGTGTCGTTGCGCATCAGCTACCAGCAGCCTGCCAGATGCCAGATGTTGCGGCTGCTGTCAGTTGTTATCTCTTGTTGAATCTTCCAGCGGCGGGTTGCGGATTGATTATCTGGTCGACGTAGGTAGATATACCGGAGGGGTGTGCTTCATACTATACCAACCTAGGGCACACAGGGGAGAAAAAGAGGAATGAGAGAGGATTTTTAGACGCGGGTGATATCTGTAGCTCTACTGTCATTTTCTCTTCTCGTCTCTTCTCTCTCTCTTTTTGATCGCTCTCTCATTCCTACCGTTGATATATAAACCTAACTTATCCATCCTCTCCTTTCGACTTCCCTTCCTTTCTATATCCCTCTCACCCCAATTGCATTCTTAATTATTCTTCTTCGTCTCCTCTACCCTTTTTATTTTGAGAATACACCATGTCAGACTCCGTCGGTAAGTCAAAAATCCCTATTTCCCATCAAAAACCTTGCGGCAAAATTTGAAGTTCAAGCAGGTCGAACATCGACAAATGTTCACGACGAAGCTAAACGCACGCGAGAGTCGTCCTGCCTCTGTATATTTATATGCAATTACACCCGTCCAGCAGAATAACGATGTCAAACTCGCTGATCAATGCTAACTATGTCTTTTCCTGGCCCCTCACTAGACCGAGTATTCGTCCATGCTCTCAATACCGTCAAGAGAATCCCCCGATCGGGGTCGGCCAGGCCACCCCTCCCCGAACGATTGAGGTTATATGGCTTATACAAGCAGAGCATGGGTACTTATCTCCCTCGCTCCTGTCCCCTATATTGTTCAGAGTTCGGAAAAGTAAATATAAAAAAGTTGCGGCGAAAGCTTAATGATGGTGACATATGAAAGTGCTGATTTTGGGTGGTCGTGATTTTAGAGGGCGATGTGGAAGGGGTCATGGATCGGCCTGTCGATGATGAAACGGATTTACATGCCGAGAGAGAGAAATGGTATGAGATGAGCATAAATTAACTGTCCTCCCTTGGTTTTTCTTTTCACTTCCCTACGGGAGGCTTTATTTTTTGCAATAATGACTATCTCTTCAATGAACACAGTATTATCAGCGCAATCAAAAGTGTGGGAAAGCTAACATATCAAAAACGGCTTCCATTAGGGATGCCTGGTACGCGCAGCGCCATCTATCACGCACCGAGGCAAAACGCCAATACATCACTGCTTTACTCGACACAATGAACAAATACGCCTCCTCAACGCCAGAAGCCCGCGAGCTCATCTCCGAGCTTGAGTTTGTCTGGGATCAGATAAAGTCAAACTCGTCCTCCTCCCACTCATCCGGTAGCCCCATCCACACCTCCAACGTCTCACAGCCACAACGTCAACCATCCCGTGTAGCATCCCCCACCCCGCCCTCCCGATCAAACTACGGCTCGCAATATGGAAGCATTGGTGGCCGGATATCGCGTGGCGAAGCGGCGGCGGCAGAGGAAGGGATGGAACGGCCGATATATGCTGGGCGGGATTCGAGATTGAGAGTTCTTAGCCCTGTTAGTCAGCCGGATGATGAAGTGCCAGGGAGCGGCCGGCGGAATTATAAAGCAGGCGACGAACACGGCGCTGGACCGGATGGGGACAGGCTGGAGGAAAAAGAAGACGAAGACGAGGAGGATGACGAGGATGAAGAGGAGTTTCAAGAAGCGCGGGATAGCCCTTTTGAAGACGACGACGACAATGAGAATGACGATGACGACGAAGATGTGCGGTCGGATAATAATAATAATCATAATCATAATAACGTTACCCAACAACAGCCCAGAGGAAGAAACCGAGACCGAGATAAAGATACCCCGAAACCCAAAGCCACCACTTATAACCGCCGCTGGCGCCGGCGAGTCGAGCAGGCCATGACGAAAATGACAGCCGAACTCGCGGCGATGAGAGAGCAGATGGAGACGCGGGCGATCAACAGCCGGCGCCGCTCGAGCCTGTGGGCGTGGATCAAATGGCTTGTGTGGGTTGTGGTGCGGCAGGTTTGCTGGGATCTTGTGCTGTTTGGGTGTTTGCTTGTGTGGATGCGGGTTGTGAGGGGGGATAGGCGGTTGGAGGAGAAGGTGAGCGGGGTGGAGATTTGGAAGGAGGTGAGGAGGAGAGTTGCGCTTGTTATTGGGAGGGGGGAGAGAAGGGGGTTGGGGTTTAGATTGGGAGGGTTTCCGTAGGTGGGGTCGTTCCTTATTTTTTTTAATTTTTTTTAATTTTTTTTTGTTGTGGGTTGGGGATGTGGTTTATCTCCTGCTACTTCGCAAGGGGTAGGTTGGGAGAAGGTATCCCTTCTTTTTCTTTTGTTCTTTCTCTCCTCTGTTTCAGCGTTTCTTTTCTTTTTTTTTTTTTTTTGAGGTGGGTGTATACGCCCACTCTCCATGCAGAATACACATATACATGCTTTGCTCCCGCGGCGTTCTGCTTGATCTATTGTCATGATATTCATCTATACATTTATTTACAATACGTGCATACACATTCTCTTCCAATTAACTGTATTAGTAGATACATAACATATATCCGTGGCCATCAATCTCAGAAATGATCTTTTCCACGAAAGAGGGGAAAAGATTTCTCTAACAGTATCCTCACCGTCTTACTCTGCCCATCTGTCTGACATGCCATGACTCTACGAAAACATGTCTTGTTCTCTACGGAGTGTGAATGCTCAGAGCTACTCTTGCTCATGCCTCTGATGGCAGTATATAATAATATGTCATCCCCAGCATCTTCTCAAGTCATGCAGCATATGTCTGAAGTTCAACTTTCAGCACATTTGATCCCACGGGCAGAAAGAGAATGAACCATGCCTTTGCTATTTGTTAAAACGTCCACAACAACGCCTACAGATCTTTTGCGGGCTTACTTTGTTGATTTGCCGTTAAACCATTCGAATGCCCTTTTGCTCTGTTGTCATCCGAAATAACTAAGGTTCCTCTACTTAGTACGGTGGCCGGGTTGCAGGAATTGAGTTCTGAAATGCCGCAGCTTCATTTATTGCAGAGCTTCTGTTATGGATGGCGAAGGCGGCTTTGGAGCTACTGTATATTTATATTGTGGCGGACATATTGCTTGCGAAAACAGAATTTTCCCAGCACCCCCTGAAAATTAGTAGCAAAACACCACAAAAAAATCAAAATATCCATGTTTCTCTAGAATCATTCAATTATCATCCAATACGCGTCTTTTTCAATCAATTATCATCCAAATACATGTCTTTCTTACCTTTATCATCAAATCCACATATATCAATCAACCCATTTTTCAATATGCCTCGCAACGCCCGCTGTCCTGCTGCTTCACAAGCCTGTACAAAGACTCCTACCCTGTGCCTCAGTCTCTCCAAACGACCTGTTCCAGAAGTTCTAGATAATGGAGAGGATCTGGTCAATGATGAGATGAAGGAGCAGGTGGATGAGAAGGATATAGAGACTCAGTCTGGGGATTCTATATCTGTGAATCCCTACCCCTGAACCTGACATCTCATACAGATTGTATGAACAGGTGATTATCAATGAGATAAAGAACAAGAGAGATGACAAAATGATTAATGTGTAGAAAGAAGAAGAAGAATCAGAAGAATGAGTCTACAACTTCTACAATCAATTCTTCTATACAGATCTCTCAAATGTCAGTGATTATATTCTCTCCTTCAGCTCTGACAGCTTCAACTTCATTCATATAACATTCCCAAGTGAGATAATCAATGTGATGATGATGATGATGATGAAATATATGATGGAAAGAATAGAAGAACTGAATTCACAATCTCATTATCATCCACATCCAGATCTGCTGTTGAATCCTCCATCAAATCTGCTGTTGAATCTTCCATCGAATCCGCCGTTGAAATCTTCCATTGAATCCAGTACTGATATATGATTTCAGCCTCGGAATTTCTCATAAGAGCATCACTCGTGTCTCTCTTGTTGGGGGTTCGGCGTGTTATCCTCGCCCTGTTAAACGTGAAAACATAAAATGAAAGAAATGTTAGCTGACGAGATACCGCGAGGTATCTAGACACGTCCACAGTGTGATGGAGGGGGCATTATAGCTGCTAGGCCTGAGATCCTGTTGCCCAACATATAGCCATGAGAGGAGACTTCAAACTGAATAAATCATTCGAGTCTCGGGTTCTTACCTTTGCATTGCTTGCATATTTAACTCTACGCAGGAAGGTTCCCACTGGCATTTGAAGATGACATACAGGACATCCTGAATTCGAAGGATATAAACAGAGCAACGAAATCCTTCGTTTGTTCTATAGATACTATCCACAGGCTAGTTAAGATATTTATATATCTACCTATGTCAGCTTTTATTTTTTTCAATGCCTCGAATCTGCATGTCTAATACTAAGCTCCATTCTACGTGGATTAGAATATGGATGCACCGAGGGAACTGAAGCATAGAGAGTTTACTCCATATATAGAGCGCTGTTTTTATTGCAGTATTTACTTACTCTCTGCCTTAAGATACCAGAGCTCACGAGGAATATAGGAATAACTAACAATATATTGTAAATGTACAGTACTTTGCTAGGTTCTCTCGTCAGCGTGCATATACCGCGTTCCCAACTTTCAGGTTTACACCCCTGGGAAATAGTTGCTGTTATTGACATCCCCCCACATGCCTCAAAAAGAAAAGACTCTAAAGTCTTCTACATAGCAGTCATAACCCAACTAAATATTTACTGCCCATCAGGGAAATCGCTTATCACACTAATCTCCTGCCACGCCTTGAGATCGGCGAGAGTCTGAGAAGCAGGCTTTGAAATTTCAGCCATAGCATCACTGCCCAAGGCGAGTAGATCTCTCCCAGCAGCATGTCCCGAGGAAGTAACAACATCATAGATAACCTCCACACCCCCAACAGGGTTACCCAACTCTGCGGCATGGAACTTAGCAAAGCTGCTATCAGCCGGTGCATTGATTTCAGTGTAGTCAGGAATCCATTCAGTAGAACCAGTTGATGTGATTTTTGCATTGGGGTTCATCAGTTGAGACAGTGGCGGATGCCAAAGGAGGCAACTTCATCGGCAAGGCCAATCGCCAGCCAGCGCGGCTTTGGAAGCATTATATTATATAGGTTGCAGCTGACCACAGGATGCGAGGTCGCCATCGAGCCGATAGTAACCAGGGTGCCGGATTTCTTTCACATAGATACGGGAGCACCGCACAGTATCCATTTAGAGGGCCGAAGGTATTGACTTGAAATTGGCGGAAAGTGGCTTCGGGGGTAACCTCTTCAAGGATTCCTGTCTGAACATAACCAGCGTTGTTAACCACTATGTCTATAGAGTCGTATATCGTGACGATGTCTTTCATGGCCGCCTTGATTTCCTCGAGGGTCTGGTTAGGATCGAGCTTAGTAGCCCGGCACCATCATCAAGCCTCAACTTCTCGGGGTTGCGGGAAGCAGCAATCACTCGCTGGCCGCAGCCGGCCGCATGTTTCTCAAGAACCCGGAAGTTGCACCGGTGATGAGCCAAACACGAGAAGAAGCCATGATAGGAGAGGGAGGAAAGAAATCTATTTAGTTGAATGGATGGAAGCAGCTGATCAGACGAGACAGACGAACTGGCAAGCCATTGTATTATATAAATGGCTTATCTCGATGCTGCCACCATTCGATCATCTGTCTCTTCTTTTCCTCTACCTTGCATTGTAGTAGCTCTATCGTCTTCATTTATTTCCACTCTCCAAGCTTGATTAGTTATCTCCAGTGACTGACACTCACGAATCCGAGGTAAATGCTGGCAATGTCATTAAGTTAACCCTTCCACTGGGCAAGAAATCTGCCTTCACGGCTAACCCAGCCCTAGCTAGTCCATATCAAGAATGGCATCTTTTCTTAATCATTCTATGAAGACCCTTGGTTTCTCTAGTTTTGCCTATCCGTTTCGCAGGGACCCGGTGCTATTAATGGATATCAAAACATTTCTTTGCTCGGCCTGCCGCAACTGGTTTCTTTCTGTTGGCTTGGTTAGAGATTTTGAATTGATAGATAAGTGAATGAATGAATGAATGAATGATACCTCCTCTGCACACCCAGTTTTGAATCATTTGGACAAATAGGAGTCGATTTTCTGCTTTGAAACCGAACCTCGGGGCCGCGCTTAGTTCGACCCCTCCACGCCGAGGGTGGAAGATATATATCTTAAGATATAATCTTGTTTACCCCCAGCAAGCAACCATATTGTGTGCTATAACCAACCTTTCTCTGGTTGGGTGTTGGGTTTTTTTAAGCCTTTTGTTGTTTCTTATATTTTAAACAACTACACATATCGCCTGCCTATACCATATCGACCTCGGGAGGAGGGGAAAAGGAAACCGGCGCGTGAGAGAAGATATATAAGAATGGCAAACGACGATGCTGCACGAAAGGAGGCAAAAAAGGCTGTTGAAGGCTTGGTTGAGATGTAAGTTGATACAGTCTCTCTATTTACAATTTTGGCCACGGTCTATGAGAATGGGGGTGTTAGGAGAGAAAAAGGGGAATCCGGGGGTCATGATACCCTACATGACCTTTGCAATATTTCAGCTGACTGACATCTTTTGTTTAGATATCACGGAATCATGCAGGAGAAGAATTTTAGAGTCAGTTTTCTTGCCCAGTCCAACAAAAAAAAAAAAAAAAAAAAAAAAAAAAAAGAGAGAATGAATCCCTCATGTACACTTTTATATACTCTCCTCATACCATTTCCCCTTAATAATTATCCCGTGACGATACCGTTCGTTGTCTCTAAACAGCCCAGCGATGCATACACTATCGAAAATACTCCCTAGCAAAATGCTATACCTCATCAAAACCAACTAACTGACCATTTCCCCTTTTTCTTTCCTGTCACGGAGTATATAGGGCTACGATAGACAGCTGATGGATTCCCTGCGGGTCATCGAAGCGTATCCCGACGGCAGAGCCCTCTGGGAACTCCCCATTACGGACTTCTGGGCCAATATAAATGGTTAGGAGAACATGAATGATTTTGCATCTCCCTATTCTCTTTCCTCTGCCCAACCTACCGCATGTAGGATACGAGTATATAGAAGGGATGTGCTGAAGGAAAGTAAAACAAACTGGAGTTTATAGGGGTGATGCATGGCGGCGCTTACGGTGTTATATTTGGTAAGTTATTCTGCCTTTCCTCTATACATATATCTATATGTAGTATCGTATATCAGGCATTCTCCTGCCGAAGGTTTGTTAGTAGTCACCTAACGGAAGAATAAAACCCATCTAGACATGTGCACTGCCATCTCCATGAGCCCGATTTCGAAGGAGGGATATTGGGAGTAAGTACCTACATAAGTCCCATTCCCTCTCTGAAACAGAATAATTCGGCCGGCGTAGGATACCTTTTATTCTAACCGCTCCTGTTTCCCACGTCGTTTAGGTTCCTGGCTGGTGTCACGCGCTCACTCAACATCTCCTATCTGAAAGCTGTGCCTATAGGTATGTCAACGTTGCAGTACGTGTATTATGTATCATGTACTAGAGTCTATCTATGTGAACACATAAAACAGGCAAACCACCAAGCAAGGAAAGAGAGCCCCTCTTTTTGATCAAGTTATTTAACACAACTGCCTTTTTGTTTTTTTACAAATATAGGTTCGATAGTCTACATCCGCACCAACGTCATCCAGCACGGACGAACAATGGCCCTAATAGGCGCCACGATGGAGTCCAAGGATGGGAAGATAATATATGCCACGGCGGAGCATCATAAGGTGCATACTCCGGCTCTACCTGAATATTCGCAGAGGCTCAGGGAGTGGTTGCAGAGGAAGGAGAAATCTAAGTTTTGAGGTATAGTGGTAGTGGACGGGGAGGGTTCTGGATATGCAGTAACAGGGGTGTTCATATATTTAACCTTTCTTTTTCTCTGCACTTGGCTCTTTCTTTTGAGCTCCAGGTATAACTTTGCAGGTAGACGAGTAGAGGGCCCGATTTTCTGGTTTCTTCACTCTATATAAATCAGAGTATGCATGCTAAAAGGCTAAACCAAGCCACGAGCTCGCAAACGAGAATTGATGTGATGAATGAACTCGTATTTCACAAGAATGCAACCATGCGATCATTCCGAACCAATAATATATGTATATATGTACAGAGCAGACGAGATCCCTTTTGTTGTTTTTTTGTTTCAATTTTTCATTATTCTTAAGACAAAAAGTAAAAAGAAAATCTAATATTGCGGACCAGAGTAATTGGCGTAGATTTGGGACTTTCGCAGATGGACAGGTGTCTGGCCCTTGGGGGTATCGGGGATTTCTTTCTTTAGACCCTATAAGCGCGAGTAAATGTCAGCAATCGATATCCCGGTTTGTGCTCTATCCTCTTTGCCTCTCTGTTTGGGGCAGGAATGCAACACATACAAGCTTCTCAAACACGCAAGTATTTAGTGCGTTCTCAGCCCTCCGACATTGCCATAGGTGATGGTTATTCTGTTCTAGACATTCAAAATGCGTCTTGAATTGCTCGAGGCAGTTTTCGTTGATATCCTTGATGCTAGACGACAAAATCAAGAGAGCAAATTAGTCAACATACAACAAAAATCCTCCCTCATGTCCACGCAAATACGTACACACTAGCCGCGCAACGGGTAACCTTCCGACCTTCCCTCAGACAGTCCAGCTCGCCCTTCCCGTTGGACTCCGTCTTGCACTTCATGTAATCGTCATTGTATGCCTTGCAGCGGTCGCCGATGAAGTACGCCGCGCTCATCAATGGGGCAGACGTGGCCCCGATCTCTTTGACCTTGGGGATGTCATCGGGCATGGGGGTTGTGTCGATGAGCACATGTTGGTTGAACCTATATTTATAAAGAAAGGAAGCGAATGAAATGGTTAGCCCTGCTATATTCGGGAACACTGAGGGAGTACTTCTGGCGGGCGCCCGGGTAAAGCCGCAATTGAGAGACGTACTGAGCTCCGCGGCTCCCAGACATGGTGGCAGACTATGTGCCGTGCACGATTGGGGCTTTTGAGAATGGATGCGGGAGTGCGGGGAGGAATTGGAGGTTTGAATCGGCGGAGTTGAGCATTGGGGATGCTGCGATGCTTTTGGCGGCTGGAGCTAAGCGGCTGTTTGTCGGTCGGGTTATTGATATCCCGACCCCGAGGTACTGTGTTATAAGTTAATCCATCGACCATCCTGATAGATATAAAACATCTATATTTTGTAGTAGATGCATCGTAACTAATTATTGCCAAATCGCTATATTTGGCTGTGTCTTGTATATATATATATGCCCCACGGAAGTGGGAAATTGAATTGAATAGATTGCTGCTTCATGTTTGGTTCGCAGTTACAACCTTTCAAAGGAACATGTTAATCAGGGGTAGCTGCGGCTATCCTCCACGCGTTGTTGACAGAGTTTCTACCCTGGCAACCTCTTTCGTTATTCTCTTCCTTTCACCGGTGGTCATTTGTCCTGTCACTTTAAACTGTTACGCATCTAGACTGCTAGAATATATATTCACTAAGGGGTGATAGAGAAGACACCTTCTCCCAACATCAAGACATCCTGGGTCAAGGGGCTTCCGTTCCTTTTCCTGTTGGGGACTTTCCCACAAGTCAGACCATAGATGCTGGAAGAATATTTAACGGAATATTTTATTCCACTCGACCTACTCTTTCACTCTGTTATACCTTTTGGCCTCGATTCATGACAGTGTTGCTGTCACTTGGACTCGTCAATGGAGCGTTTTCTACACTTCGAACAAGATAAAATGGCGCAGTGAGATATCAACTCCCGTCCAATGGATATTTCATATGTACTAATGTAAAGCAAGATACGAACTGCGTGCCGCAAGAGGTAGGCGAATTCATTCATACCGTTAGAATTTGACTTTACCGCAGCTATATCTACTGGGTTCGTTGGACTCTGTCTGACTTTCTCGTATAGGGAGGTTGAATCTGGAGGACCAACTGGCAACGCCCCGGTCAACCAACCCTGTGAGACATCAAAATATCGGAACGGCTCCCCATCAACAAGGAATACCAAACAACGGTAAAATGACCAGGTTTTTTTTAGAAGCCAAAGACTGATTAGTTGATATAGGACCATTGAATCACCGTGGTGATTCCTCAGCGCCAGGGCATAGAGGTGCAAGGGGTGGGATGCATGGAGGTAGGGGTACTCCTGTCTGGGTTCGAGGCCGCGGCGCCTATCGTCCATCTCGAGCCAATTTTGATCACGCCAGAGGTTCAAATCACAGGCAGTACCCAAGCGCTCGGCCGGTTGATAATAGCGATAGCCTCCAACCCAATGGTAGGCTGTCATCCATTGTGCGAGAACAGATACATGGTACATTTTACTGATTGCTCGTCGTCATACATAAAGCCAGAAAGAAGGAGGACCATTTTGCCAAAATCTCGCGTTACGTCAAAGCTAAGGAGATACGCAATGATATTAACGAAAAACGCCAGTTGATGATTGAACAATATAGACAGAAGCCCGATCCCTCAATCAAAATTCCAGAGACGGTATAGTTTTCTATGTTTTTTATTTCGTCCTATATTGGCAGAGGGCTAATAGGTTGATGTCTCCCGTAGATGTTATTCCTTTGGCCAGATGATGAGCTTCCACTGGAGATGGCCCTTGGCAAAGACTTGGAAGCTCTGGATCCAATCCGTGCGGAATTTGGCTATTATATCTATCTGTATGATGAATCTCCAGACGGCCAGAAATACATCCGGGTCGACGGCGGTGACCACGGGAAAATTATCGAGATTGTCCAGCGGCTTCGCGCGAAGTGGGCTAATCTTCTCGCTGAAACAAGCGTTAAGACTAAACTATATCTTGTTCAAGCACCTACAGTTGACATCTTTAAAGCAGAAGTAGGCTTAATGAAATGTCGCCAGCCTGGTAGTCAGAACATCCAGGCGACTCCTTTTCTTTATGGAGCCAAATGGGACGACGCTGAGCTTGAACAGTGCCATCAGCTTCGTAAAAAGAACGAGCAACGTCTGCGTAATGCGGTGGACCAGTCCCTTGACGGTTTGCGGTTTCTTGCGGGTCATGTCCGGATGCGTATAAATTTCGGGAAATTTGTACTCGAGAATTACAGAGTTCCCCCGAATTCGAAAGAGCTGTATTCTTTTGAGGAATTTCGAAGTATGCTTTTTTATGCTGGAACAAAAGGTCGCCTAATTCCTGGGTATGTATCCTGGGGAATGAATGTTTGAGGAAGCTTATGCTAATCTCGCATCATGCATCTTTAAGGCTCGGTTTCAAAAGCGCTGACGGTGACCTAATGACTCGATGCTCACAAGCTTCAGACCTTCTTGCGCCGTTCGACCCACAGATAGAGTCTCTAGAAAACAATAAACCGCACTATGCGGTAAATATTGAATTTGAAGGCGCTAATAATGCACTGCTTCGTTTGGAGGTTGAATTCGAATCATCTCGTTATCGACCAAACCTTTTTGAGATATCGCATCGACGTTGGCTAAAGCCTCAAAGTGATGATGGGCTTGGAGAAAAGCGACCGCCGCTTCAGATTGGGGTTATCGACTTTGAAAGGTCTGTGTCTCTTGAAACAATTAGTCAGATATAGAATGTTATCCTAATGCCCTACGAACAGGTCCGACTGGCAGCTGGAAATCAAAGCTTTGGATTTCCAGGAACAATCTAACATTGAGCAGTCTCTAAAAAGCTTTGATCACTCTATCCAATTCAAGAGAGGTCCCACCGATGGACTTCGTGGTACCGCAGTGCAGCGTGTGACGTTCTCCAACATTGCGACTGTTTCCAAAATCACGGAAAAGTCAGCACTTAGATATCGTCTCAAGGGTACTAAATACATCTTCGAGCTTGCACGGTACGATACATATCATCGTGCCATCCGCCCAGGTCCGCCGTCCATCGGTGATGGCAACAAAATGAACCAAACAGCCGAAACAACATGGGGTGCCTCCATTTTCCGCCAAGAATGGGATAACATGTTGGGACAGAATGGGAGTTTCCGAGTTGGGCAAACCGCCGACTGGAGTGCAAGTCTCAATACTTTTTTCCCTTGTCTGTCTGACGAGGATTCAACGGATGTCAACACTGGATTTCATCAGTTTATCGACTTGGTGAACAAGGTTGCGAAGCTTTTGACCCCTGAGAGAAAGAGCGAAGTTGTTGAGCGGGCTGAAACCACTCCTTGCGGAAACATCAAACCAGTTATCATGTAGAATGCGCCGAAGAAGTTCTAGGCCCAAGTTGCTAGTTCGTGAAGCAATTTGATTGCCCGTCACTGACCTAATGAAATGGATGAAGGAGCGCAATCCACAGGTTGTTGATGGTAATAGTTGCTTCTAATAAACATCAAAACAGATATTTTTACTTTGGTGGATGATACTTGGTTCCTCCTTCACAGGTTTTACTTTCTTTTCCCCCCTTCCCCTTACGAATTCATAAATTGTTGCCTAGTAGAATCAAACCGGGTTTTTGGCTTCACCATGTCTGCATTAATGAGTATGGAGATAGGGTCTGGAGTGCGTTTTAGTTATCAAGATTGTTTTTACTTTTCATGAGTGGGTTTTATTCATTTATGAGAATAGAACACCCGGTTAAGTTAACAAATGGTATGATCGTCCTGCCTTCATCGTAGCGTGTCTTGCCAAAACTTTAGTTCCCACTTGGAAAAGAAATTTCCCTCCCAGCTGCTTCTCATCCTATCCTATCGTAGGTGAGGAAAACGACACGACCTAGCTTTGACACTCTTGCCAAGGGCAAAGTGGAAATTGAAACCACAGTGATGTAAGAATTCTATTTGCCAAATATACTCATCAACCACATCCTGGTATATGATAGTCACAGGGTGGAGCTCACGTTGGCATCAACATTGGAACGGTATACTATGCCGAATTACGCATCACCACCGCTTCCTACGCCAGAGGGCCCTGCTGTGGCTTCACTAAGGAGTTTCTGACGGAGGACTGTTCGAGACGGTGTTAGACACGGGTCAGATGGAAACATCGTGGTTCTCTAAAGAAGAAGGGTAAATGGAGACGCACCGTCCTCGATAACTCGTAGATTTTGGCTCTTCCCTTGAACGACCTTTTCCAACTCTCGTAGGTTCGTACCTAGCTCCTCGACCTTGGCATTGTAAAATGCAATTGCCTTTGATGTCGTCTACATTTTGGAACCAAACAGTTAGCTTTATTGTTGGCTCATACGTAAAGTGGTCTTTCTGCCCGCCGGGTACACCGCACCACACTCACCAAGCAGCGTAAAACTCCTAGGAAAGTAATAAAAGATATATGAGAGGGAAAAACACAAAACAAACCTTCTCGACATAAAACCCCGTCCCGACATCTACAATCACATTTTTCCTATCCGCTAATGTCCCCTTGACATACAGCGAGTTCGTCAACGGAACCAGAATCTCATCACTCTTCCCCGCGGTACCACCGCTTTTATTGTCCCCGCTGGCGCCCGCGCCGCTAGGGCCTGCTACTCCGTCATTTATCGAGCGGATACAATCGCGGAACTTCAACTGTGCGTTTCGTAGCTTTGTGTGCGAACTTGTGAGGTGTTCTAGCTCTGAGCTGAGACGAGATTGGAGGGAGCGGAGTTGCGGGGCGGAGAGGGTCGCGAGGTCGACTAAGGGAGGTTTGGTATTTAAGTTAGTTTGGTTGGAATTTGAGAGGGAAATTAAGGGATTGCCTTTTCTTTTGGATTGGGGTAGATTTTTTTGGGCGGGGTGTTGGGTGGTGGGATGACGAACTTGTCCCCGGAGGAGCTTCGCCCGACTCTTGTTTTGCGGAAGGTTGTGAGGACATTGTCCTTCGCCTGCTTTTGTAGAGGGCTAGAGGAGGAGCGAGAGATTAACGGGAAAGAGACGGTCGATTAATTGATTTTGGCGGTATAGGGTGCTTGGAATGCATGGGTGGGTGGAAGAAGTTATTATTTTGTTGATGTGGTTTGGGGCTGTGGAGAGATGTTGACATCATGGGAGCAAATTAACTAGTCGCGAAAAAAGCGATGATAAAATGGAGCTATAAATACATAACGAAGTTCCACTGCGCCCCTAAATTAACACCCGCTATATAATACATTCTAGATAAATATTACTAGAAAAGAGAAAATTAATCCCCCTCTAGAGTCTATCAAGCAGTGATTTAGTAAACGGATGCAAATCTTGCAGCGATACCGTCTCCCGGAGATTGTTTAGGCGTCGGCACTGGACTTCCAGTTTGTTCTCGGTCTTCCACGATTTCCCGATGACGATTATTACAGGATATCCTATTAAATCAGCGTCTCTAAGCTTCCACGGAATATTCCTATCTCTATCATCAACTATCGCATCAACGGCACCGATTTGCCTTCCATTTATATCGTCGTAAACCCTTTCAGCTTCCCCTTCCAGTCCTTTATCCGGGATGATTATGACCTCGAAAGGAGCAATTGCTCTCGGCCAGTTAAGCCCTTTGGAATCGGCCAGAGTGTCTGCAACCGCAGATATCATCCGTGAAACACCAATTCCGTGACATCCCATTTCAAGCGGAACCGAAAGAGTACTGGTATCGTCCGTTTTCGAGCCATCCTTCAACAACGTTAAAGGTACAGCCACGGAAGCGTTCAACACTTTGCTATATCGGGTCCCCAGATGGAAGGTATGTGCCAGTTCAATGGCAGTGTGGGTTTGGACCGTATGTTCACCGCACTTGGAACATCGGTCTCCAGCCACAGCGCTAATGCAGTCGAGTTTTTTATCGGTACCAGGGTGATGGTGCAACGATGAGAATCGTACCTTCAGTTGTTCTAAAACCTCCTTGCTGTGCCCAGCGGGGAGTGGAGGGCGATCGTAAACACGCACACGGTGGTCATAAATATCCAAAATGGTAGGCTCATTTAATTGAGCTGTAGACGCTTGTTTGCCTTCTTTGGTGATAGCTTGCCATTTTGTCATTGGACTGGTGACGCTTGTGTCGAGATCTACCCCTGCTGAGCGAGCAATTGTTCTCACAGCATGGGAATTGATATGTCGCTCCACTGGCTCGGAGCCCCCGCCCTTTATTAGATACTTCGGATAGAATACCCTTATGAGAGTATTTCCATCCTTTGAGATGCCCATCCACATGTCGGTTGAGATCGCTGGGGCTTGCTGTTCCTCTAGTCCAGCAGATAATTTATCTAGATTGGGATTTGCAGGCGGTGTAAGGTCTTCGTATGCTTTCCCATCGGAAAGCTCTTCGTTGTATACATTGCCACAGCTAGAACAGCTAATAATCGTGTCCTCGCCTTTGGGATTTGGGAGATGAAACTCATGACTTAAACTTCCTCCCATGTTGCCGGAGTCTGCAGTAGCGATCATGTAAGGTATCCTAAGCTCATCAAAAAGTCGTATGTAGGCCTTTTTGACAGCACTATAAGTTTTTATTGCTGTCTCGGGACTGTAGTCAAAAGTATAAAGATCCTTCATGATAAACTCTCTACCTCGAAGTAACCCCTGCCGCGGCCTTGGCTCATCTCGATACTTCCTACCTATAAATTGAATAAACATATATTAGCAGTAGGTGATGATTTAACATTGGGAAACACCTACTGATCTGGTACACTCGTAATGGAAGGTCCCTATAAGAGTTCACGGCACCTGCTACAAGCGAAGTAATTTCTTCCTCATGGGTTGGAGCAAGAAGAAACCGGGCCTCTTTTCTATCTTGGAATTTAAAGAACTAACGCTCAAATTTATCAGTCAGGTATCAAGGGTCGGTTTTTGGTATTGCACAATACCTCTGAATCTTTTTTCAGCCGACCGGATTTTTCCCACAAGGCTTGTGACGATATAGAAGATAGAGATAGCTTCGATGCCCCTATTTAAAGTTGTCAGCAAATGAACTGTCAATCATTGGACAAGTTAGAGATCTCACCAAGCGTGCGCATGTGTTTATCCACCAGACGTTCGAGTTTCTCCTGCACCCGAAGCCCGAGAGGGAGCATATGAAATACCCCTGAATAGGCCTGTCAAAGGGGTAAATGAGAGAAATTCGCAACCTCAATGATGCCAAATCTCACCTGGCGGAGAAAGCCACCCTGAATCAATAAATAGTTTGCATCTACGAGAGAAATGTTTAGTCTATGTCACCAAAAAGTCAACGGGAGTCATAAACATACCATGACTGCCGGGTTTTTTGGCTATTCCTCCCGTTGGGGTCCAGAAGGCCGAAAGCCTACTTCTCCCATCACTCTATAGCTAATTAGCTTGACAGGGAGGTTCAAAGACACTGAACGATTCTTATTCGACATACATAAAATCTACGTTTGTGAAATTGCAAGCATGATGTGGAAACGCGCCGAGAGTGAGGTCCGACTCTTGAAAAAAATATCTTGTTCATAGGACTGGATTTAACGAACGTCTCAATATTACAAATTCATGACATGAGCATGTATAGAAAAAGAACCGAAAAGGAAACCGATCGAGATAGAAGCCAATTTTTATCGTTCGTCCAAGGCTTCTTGAAGCTCTCCCGATTATGTCTCGCAGAAAAATTGAATGGCCCGTGCTTTGCTGTCGGGTTTCGGAAAGAGTTTTTCCGGAGGCCGGTAACTATCAAAAAAAAAAAATTTAGTCTTTGGAAAATATACAGAAGAGAAGGAGATACCATAGTAATTCTGTGCGCTATTCAGCCACAGCATTCACAATGGGGAAGCCAAAGACAAAAGGCAGACGATTCTCTGCAAATGAGGTACCGATCGCAGCTGCGGAAAAGCCTGCTAACTCCTCTACTACCAATACGGATTCACTTCCAGACTTGTCTACGGGCGTCCTAGCCAACCTAACGAAACGCATTGAACAAGGTTTACAAGACCAGAAATCCCAGCCGCGAAAGGAGCCAAAGGCGACCGCGAGTGAATTGAAAAAGAAGAAAGATGCTCGTCCGCAATTCGAACGTAAACCCGACAACAAAAAGGGGAAAAAGCGGGACAGGAACGGGGAAGTTATAGCCCCTCGAGTAAGCGCGAAGGGAAAACCTGGGTCCAAACTTGACGAAGGAGGGGCCCACGGAAGCGCATTAGAAAATGAAATATACTCGATCGGCGGAACTAAGGAGGACTACGATCTCCTTGCTAGCATCGATTCAGATTCGGAAATGGAAGTCTTTGAGGATACGCCAAACAAACAAAATGGGAAATCAGTTAATGAGAACACTCTACGCAAGGATCTAGAAAAAATGCTGGGCGCAGATAATCCATCCCCAGCGCCAAAACCTACAGCTAAAAAGGCTAACGTTGCGGATCCTATTCACCTTGCTCCCAAGCCGGCAAAGGAAACCAAGCCACCAAAGGATATCCAGCCTTCAATAGAAACCCCAACGCAAAATACTCTGAAGAAGAAATCGAATCCGAACCAGGAGGAGGTCTCCGGTTCGAAAAAGCTAACACAGCAGCATAGTGCACGATCATCCAATTTGGTTAGTTTTACTGCGCATACGTCTCCAATCTGGCTCAGAACTAATCTGACCATAGGTTATCGACCCTCGTCCCGATTGGTATTCCATACCACTGCCTGAAATATCTCTAGAATCACCGAAGAGTAGCGGTGTCGCCCGACACATCTTAGATCGTGTCCAAGAATATGCTACAACGCTACTTAACTCGGAAAACCAAGCCTTTGCAACATCGCAGCAGTCGTCCTCATCCTACAAGTTTTATTCCACTATCGTTTCTTCCGGAACTTTGAGTGATAAAATCTCAGCGTTAACACTGGCGGTGCAAGAGTCACCTCTCCACAATGTAAAAGCATTGGAGAATCTTATTGCGCTTGCTAAAAAGAGAAGTCGAGCGCAAGCTGTTGAGGTTCTCAGATCCCTCAAAGATCTATTTGCCCAAGGCACCCTTCTCCCGAGTGATCGCAGACTAAAATCACTGGCCAATCACTCGGCGTTGCTCGCTGCGTTCGAAGATGTTCCTGGTAACTGGACTGCTTCAAATCCCTTGCCCAAGGGTTTGGACCGGAGCCACCTCATTGTGTGGGCCTTCGAGGACTTTCTGAAGGAGCAATACTTCGAGGTACTGAAAATCCTCGAAATTTGGTGTAATGATGAAATCGAATTTTCGCGATCCAAAGCAGTAAGCTATGTTTACGAGCTCTTAAAAGAAAAGCCAGAACAGGAGTCCAATTTGTTGCGCCTCCTGGTCAATAAACTTGGTGATCCAAACAAAAAGATCGCTTCGCGGGCGTCTTATCTTCTACTACAGCTTGAACAGTCCCACCCTTTGATGAAACCAATCATAATCTCAGCGGTCGAATCAGACATTCTTTTCCGACCAGGCCAAAGCCAGCATGCAAAGTATTATGCAATAATCACCCTCAACCAGACAGTCTTGAGAAGTGGCGAAGAGGATGTTGCGTCAAAGCTCCTCGATATATATTTTGGTCTTTTCGTTGCTCTGCTGAAGCCGACCAAGGATTCCGCAGGCAACTCGGAACATAAACATGGGAGACACGATGCAAAATCTAAAAAGCGACGTGGAGGCGCCGCAGTTCCAAAAGGACAGGCTCAGGAAACTGAGTTGCGCGAGAAGTTGATTGCGGGCGTTTTGACTGGCGTCAATCGAGCTTATCCGTTCACCAGCTCTGATGTCGAAAAGTAAGGATATCCGCCAGCCTGTTATCTTTGATCAATGATGCTAACCATTCTTTTTTTTTTACTGGCAGGCTTTCGAAGCATATTGATACTTTATTCCGTATCACCCATTCCTCGAACTTCAACACTAGCATCCAAGCGTTGATGCTTATCCAGCAGCTATCGTCTTCTCACCAAGTGTCGTTGGACCGATTTTATCGAACCCTCTATGAGTCCCTACTCGACCCCCGAATATCCTCCTCGTCAAAGCAGTCGTTGTACCTAAATCTCTTATATAAATCTCTAAAGACTGACTTGAATGTCAGGAGAGTTAAGGCTTTCGTAAAACGACTGGTTCAAATCCTATCACTACATCACCCATCTTTCATTTGTGGCGTGTTCTATTTGATAAGGGAGCTGGAGAAGGTTTTTATAAATCTCTCCACGCTCATGGACGAACAAGAAAACATCGAAGACGACGACGAGGAGATTTTTAGAGATGTTCCGGAGGATGGAGAGCAGACCGCGGAGCAAGCGCCGGAGCAGACCGAGAAGAAAAATGAAAATCGATATGACCCTCGTAAAAGAGACCCCGAACATAGCAATGCTGATAGAAGTTGTCTCTGGGAACTGGTAAGTATCCCTCCCTTCCCTGCCTCGAGCTCCTTGACGATTGTCATTAATAATCAAATATAGCTTCCCTACGTTTCTCACTTTCATCCCTCCGTTTCCGTTAACGCTTCTCATCTACTGCACCACGAACCTATGTCTGGCAAGCCTGATCTTTCTATTCACACTCTTACACACTTCTTGGACCGATTTGTCTACCGTAATCCCAAGGCGGCTCCCAGTATGCGTGGGGCTTCCATTATGCAGCCGCTCGCTGGAGGCGACAATAGAGGCTTACTAGTCACATCTGGAGGAATGGGCAAGGCGCAGGAACCAGTTAATAGGGAAGAGTTCTGGAAAAGGGAAAGTGACAAAGTTGCTGCTGAAGATGTATTCTTCCACGAGTACTTCAATCGCATGGATAAGGATAATGTGCGCAAACTGAAGTCGAAGAAGAAGACTGGTGCCCGGGATAAGGATGGGGCTGAGAGTTATGATGAATCAGAGATTTGGAAGGCTCTTGTTCAGTCTCGACCCGAGCTTGAGGGCGATGGTGAGAGTGACGATGATATCGACGTCGATGATTTGGCATCCGCCATGGGTGATGATGAAGATGAGCTTGATGATCTTGATATGGATGATATGGAAAGTGGCGATGATGACGAGGATGAGGAAGGGGTAATTTTCAATGATGAGAGTGATGAGTCAGGGGTTGGGGTAGAGCAAGATAAAGGGCATGCAGCGGAGGAAATCGACGGTTTCGAGGGCTTTGGGGATGAGGATGCATTCGATATGGATGTCTCAGACGAAGATGCATTCCGGGACAGTGATGACGATGTGCCTTCTGACCTGGACAATGGGGTTGAAGAGCTACTCGCTGAAGCCTCGCCCAAAGGAGGCAAATCTACGAGTAGACAGAAAAGGAGGAAACTCAAACACTTGCCCCTTTTCGCGTCTGCGGATGATTATGCTGCATTGTTGGCGGATGATGGCCTAGACGATGGCATGTGATCGTTATCCTTGGGTGAGGTATGCATGTTCGGTGGTTGGCATATTTTTGATAGAGCCTCGAAATTTGAAGCTATTTTTATGATTTGCATTACTTTTAATATATTCGTAGCTACGTAGTCCAATTTTTGCAGAAACGTACATATACTATCAGCGACGGAGATTTGACACCCTAATTTCGAATTTCCCGTTTTGAGGTATCAAGCCCCATTCTTTGTGATCGAACCACCCAACAACATGTTTTGAACAAGGCGGGAATAGTAATAAACTTGCAGTAGCGCCTCCTAGAATAATATTCATCACATATCAATCATAAAATGTCGAATGAAACCAGAAAAGGAGAATTACTTTCCACGATTTATCAACGCAATCCTCCCAGCGTAAGGCCAGGAAACCCCAACTCATGCTGCAAATGAATAGAAAGTAATTCATCCCTTTCTATCTCTTCAGACGAAATACCACTGCTTTTATCGACCAACTCCTGTTTCCTCAATCGGGCTTTAATGACCACACACGCTTCCCCCCATGTAGCGCAGGTGCCCGCCAACCCTTCAAAAAGGCTATAAGGGGTATCTGGCAAGCGAAATTCGCGTTCGTCACGGAATTCACGGTGATGGAACGGTGGAGTTTTTCGTGCGTAGAGCAATAATGTCAAGGCCCTAGAGAGGAAATAATCTGGCGTGAGTTCCTCCTCTGCCGAAGCATCAGAGCCAGTTCTATCCTTGAACGAGAGTTTCGCTAGCTCCGTGCGTTCGTTCCCGTATTCAAAGCTATCGTGCAGTAATAACAAGGGCCACGCATTTCCCGCAATGCCGTGGCATATTCCGCCCCCTTTGAACAGTAATCCTCGTTCCCACACTTGCCTACTTCCAATCCGGATGGCTTTGTCCCAGTCTGGCTCCCAGAATGAGCGCATTAGCTGGGTGCTGTTTCGCGCCTGGGCAAGGAGGATAAGCATTCCCGGGGAGCCATGGCAGATCTGCACGTAAGAGGCATAACGGGAGGATGAACGGATGGGAAGCGAAGAAGGGAGATCGCCGCCATTCTCAATAGTAAGCTTGCATAGCCCACTTATAGTTTCAGCAATAATCGGTAAGTGGTTAATGGTGCCGTCGTCAAGCTCGTCAGGCTTGCAGGCGAGAAGAACGGACAAAATACCAGCTAAGTTGATATTAAATTACATTTTTCTCCAACCAAACTCGGGAGGTTGCTTACCTATCCCATGGATTCTGCGTTTTCGTTAAAAAAAAAAAAAGAAAAGAAAAGAAATTAAGACTGGGTGGGTGTATATCATATTGGGAGGGGGGTGAGATGATAGGAAGAAACTCACGCTCCGAGATAATATTTGTTATGCCATGGCCACATGAGTGGCAAGACATCCTGATCTCCGTATGCATCCTCGTAATCAGTAGCACCTACCCTTCCAGACTCCAGGATAATAGTTACAAGCCTCGGGATCATTGTGAAGACAGGGGTTAACGCTGCAGTGTTTTCCTCGTCTTTGCACTGTTGTCGGATCTGCAAAAGCGCCAGTAACAACCCAGCACGTCCGTATAATGCTTCATCACCGCCTAGGACTGTTCCCTGTTTAATAGCGAACTCTGTGGCGGTTTTAAGTATGTCGATGTCAAGGTCAGACGCTTTCTGCAAAGTAGGTCCGGCAAGGGCTGCGGAGACTCGGAGGACGCAAGCGCCCAGAGTAGATGACCCAAGCGGTGATAATCGCCCAGGCCTCAAGTGACTGGTCTCTGAAACACTGTAGCTAATTCTTGAATAGGCCCGTTCATAAAATCCTGATGCTAGGCGCGGGGCTTCCTCGCCGTCCTCAACATAACTCGCTTGTTGCTGGAGACGGAGAAACATAAGAGCAACCCCTATTTGGAATGTTCAATTCCAGCTCCTTCTTTTACATGGGTAAAATCAGGTGGGCGCATACCAAGAGTCCCATTGTAGATAGAACCAAACGCATTCTTGTCGTCGGGAAGCGGTTCAGGGACGTTTATCTTGATAATGTCTGTGGCGCGCTTCACAGCCCCTTGCAGTTCACGAAGCACTTGGTGCAGTACCTCATCATCTAAGGTGATAAGATCAAGCTGATTTTCATAATATTGAGGGGCCATGATGAACGACTTTAAGCTGAGATTGATGTTTAATTAAAAATCTATTCAGCCATTATACTGATGTTCTTGGGGAAGTTGTTGCGGTGACGTCATTCGTTGTAACTTAACTACTCAATGAGTGACGGCAAAATGCCTCACATATGCGTCATTCCATCCCGCGGGCTGTTCTGGCCATATGGGCATCAAACAAGAAACCAGGTATTCAAATGAACCGTGTTCATTGCAACAAGCTTTACAATTCACAGGAAAGGTGATTATTTCAACCAGCCCAGGCGCTAGACCTCTTTTTGGAAAGTTTAGCGGCTGAATTATGGGGAGGAGGGATTCGGATTTTGACTCGATTCTCTGATTTATATCAAATCAGCATTGTCACGGATATATTATAGCTCAGTCGGAAAGTCTAGGCGCTGTCCACTCAGCTAATGTGCGTTGTAATAAAACAGCTCACCGTGTTGGTGTTGAAAAATACCCTCCCCTCCATCCACTAGTTACCCCGGCGGCAGGAAACTTGGCAACGACTCTGCGGGGAGGTTAATAGAGATCTCATCGAAAAAGATGATAAGATCTGTTCCTGCAGACCGGCGGCAAGATAGAACACCTAAAATTTCTACATTATTACTATTCTTTTTACAGATCTCAACAGATTATGATGAATCCAAACCGATGGCAACCGGACCGATTAGTTAAACCATCATCCGCTAGTTTCATAACTTCGCAGCGCAACAGAGCACTTACCTACGGGGTCACACACTCACAGAATCACAGATCAATCTACTTCAAACTTGGCACTTTTAGACACTATCAACCTTTGCCAGGGGCCAATGGACGGCTTGTCCATAGCTCTGTTTTACAATTTGGTGTTGAACTACGCATGGCGAAGTGTAGAGAGCAGAGGGTACTACACAACAATACCATTTCAGACACCCTCATTATCCCGTGCGACTGTACCACACCAGTCCAACTACAGGCTTGATATTTCCGATTACTGTCCTTCTATCTTCTTTTGCTCTCCCTCGTCAAAAGTTAACCCGAAAACCTCTCGGATAACTCCTTCGTCTAACAGGCAAAGCGAACCAAAGTACCCCTTTGCGTTCACGAGTCACCAATATTACAAATATTCAGTTTCTAGCTGCGGTCTTCCCAAACAGCAGGAAAGATATCTTTCATGCTGCCCATCTCTACGATTGATATATTTTTCATCTCCCCTCGGCTCTCAGCCTTGAGGGGACTATCTACTCGTCAAAACCGCGTCAGATCTAGAATCAGGTGTCACCACGCCCCTACTCAAAAATGATAACCTGACACATTTCGACGGCGACGATGATGACGACAATAGCAATGATTGTGATCATTTTGTGACCTCAAAACGACGGCGGAGAGTGAGTAAATATGCTGGGGCGGCTGGCTCTTACTCGTCGGCATCAAGCGACATTGTCTGGGGCTAGCACAGGTAGGCAGGCTTTATCCTCAACCTTTTTATCATTGGGATTGGATTTTATTTCCTAGGTCCTGGAACTTATGTGAGTAGGCAACTCTTCTCGATCTTGTTCTTGGTATTTAAAATTGAACGGAAGATGCTAATGCCTTTGAGATTTTTACGCTTCTGTTGAAAGTGTTATTCTTAAATACCGGCAGGGGGAATTTGGGAGTGCATTTTCATGTACGGATAGTTTATGAACGCTGAGTTCCAGTGCATTCCACTGGTTTGAGTTGGCCATTTCTGGCAATTCTCATGTCCAGGGATGGAGGGTTGTGTGAACCACGGAATTATGTATTAGATTTGATTATTAAAGGTATCTAAGATACATAGATCTAGTTTCTCGAAGATTAGAAAAGGGTAACATAAATGACAATGACATGCAACAAACAAGTGTGCAGTGGCCCTTAGTTTACATTTCAAGAGTACACAGCAATCACAAGAACAAGAATAAAAATTATTAGGATGTTCAACGAAATATCATTGCAAAATTGAAGCTCAATTTATTGCCTCAGTAAATTATGTGATAATTTTTATTATTCTACCTTCTCTGTTCAGAAACTGATTAATCTGAAGAGGCCTCCCACAGACAAGTGGGAGGGCACATGGTTAATTAGGGCTAACGGCGCTAGTCGTGGCCGGCTAAGTTAGTTATAGCCGCCGATATCAAATGCTTAAACTAAAACATTCAACATTCTTCTCTTCCATCTCCTGGCTTCCAGGATTTCACTGACTTCGACGGCGGTTGAAGTTGCTCCAGCCTCTGACGGCATCTTTCTATGCGTGTTTCAACTCATCAACTTCCCTGTTTACCGTTAAGGTCTTCCAGCCGGAGACAGCAAGGAAATCATGCAAAGCCATGATTGGTTCAGTGTAGTGAAATGCTAGATCCAGATTTTTATGATTGCAAGATAAGTTAGTTCATTGGAACCATGTATATAGATAGAAGGGCATTCTCGGCCTCAATTCCCACATCCCCATCCTCGCTATGAGCAAATCGCTATCATACATTCAGCCACCCAGCTGAAATCCCCGCCTCTGCTGCACGGCTCTTTCCCGGCACCCATCAGGGAATCACACATCATGCACAGACGCTCGGTCCAGAGCACTAAGTAGCCTGATAATTTCTGAATCTGTTGGACGCATGATGCTTGCCGCGTCTTTGCGTTGGAATTTATCCGTAGAAATTGCTCTACACTTATTTCTACGCCATGCAGCGGGCAGGGCATGGTACATACACCAACATGGAAATGTCCGGTGTTTGATGAGGGGTGGTTTCTTCTGGGTTAGTTTAGAAGGGTACGGGGAGGAGAGTAACACATTTTTTTCCATTTCCTTTCCATGTCCGTCCATTTCTTTTCCATTTCTTTTCCTTTCTTTTTCTTTCTTTTATTTCGTTCCCCCGTCGTTGCCTGGGTCAGGAATTTGAAGGGTGTGAGGGTTATGAAGGACACATCATGGAGACGTCACTGTGAATCAACAGAGACTTAACCGAAGACCAGACGCATTGCAACAGTGGCGTTCATTACATGGTAAGCCATTCCAGTAATATTCGGCAACGTTCAGCGGAGATATGAAGAACACGTTCTTCGATCCAGATCATGCAGTTTGTTAACATTTGACATGCCATATATAGGTGCAACAACAAGACCCGACCGTTCCCTAGCTCACAAACAAGGGAGGAAGACATTTTATTAGTGGAGGGCTAAGCTCGAGGTTATCAGAGACTTTTTATGTTCATTCTGTCCCGTTATTCGTATTCCGGCAGCCATGGAGTGCATCCCGTGCAACCGGCGATTTAAGAATGAAACGGCTCTCGAGAAGCATATTAAATACTCCCCAGCCCATGCTCTGAAGTACGACTGTAGCAGCTGCAGCCGATCATTCTCCAGTCAAAATGCCCTTGGACAGCACATCCGAGACTCTCATCCTCTGAGATACACCTGCAACACCTGCAGCCGAGCATTCAAAACTGAGAATGGCCTTGAACAGCACATCGAAGACTGTCATCCTCTGAAGTATGATTGCAACAGCTGCAACCGATCATTCTACAGCGAAAACGCCCTGGCACAGCATATTCGGGATGCCCCAGCTCACAATCCGAAGGGCAACAACAAATCGTTCAAAAATAAAGCAGCTCAAAAGCAGCGTATCCAAAACCCCCCAGCTGATGCTCACTCGTACAACAAAGATGGTCCATGTATCCAACGCACCACGAGCATGTATCAAGCTTGCTGGAAGAGGAGTACCTCCATTTCGACTTCCACAACGATGACAACGCCGAAGGCTGCATCAGAGAGCACGACACAAATATCATGGGCCGATTCACCTGCCACAATGACTCGTGCGGCACGGACGGGTGGTCAAGTAGACAAATAGCCATCACCATACGCAAGTACCCTGGGAACAAATACAATGCGAGGGTATATCATCAACGCTGTCGGCGCTGCGATTCTCTCAGCAGACCTGTTCTTGACGAGTCCTATGCAGAAAGAGTGGCGTATCGTATCAAGAAATGGGATGGTATTTTTATGGGTGCCCCTCCTCCTTATTCGTTTGAAAAAAACGGTCCTCACCACAATGATCTGTGTGAGGGATGCAAGGATCGTCATTGCAACACATTGTCATCGTGGAATTCCTTTAATTAGGCGAATGAAGTTCGGTCCAGTGGTGTGCTTTGTTATTTTTTCCTGCTGGACTCTAGTATTTACTTCTGCGGTCATGATAAATACCACCAGGTGTAAAAATTCTCGTGGCGGCGCTGAGATCGTTGTTTCTTGATTCTGCCATTTTGGACAGATAAGCCATAATGTTTCGTCGAAAATGTTCGTGTTGTCGATGTACAGTACATACAATAGTTACATCTTTTCGAGCTAAGAAGTTCGGGCTAGATTTGCGTCGATTCCATTCACCCGCAAAATCGCATTTAGATAACCGCTGTTGTGGACAGCTCAAGGGATTCCCTACTCAGAGAAGCAATTGGTTCAGAACACATATCGAAAGCTGAGTCTCTGTGTCACATAGCTCTGTGGGTTGCGATTTGAAGCACAACGTCTGGATGTTTGGTCAGGTCTCTCCCATGAATGTGTGTGGTGTAGCTAGATAAAGAAAGCAGCCAAATGGTTATTGGACATGACTTCCTTGATGCTTGAGAACAATAGTAGTTATACTTGAGTCTTCTACGGCTCATGGTCCCTCATGTAAATATTGTGAATGAGCTTGGTTATGTTTGAAAAAACAAGTGACCAATTGAAAACATTGTAAGGGGAGTTCAGCACAGCCTAAATCTCTGCATAACTTCATGATGACCTCTTTCTCTTGAGTGTTGTCAACGAGAATGTACTACTAATTTCTAGTAGTTAGTCTTCTACACTTCATAATGCAGAGGATATGATACCCTTCTCTTCATGCATATGAAGTGATTCCGTACACCAAGTATCTTTCTTATATTTCCCTTATTGCTCACATTACTAGATCTGATCTCTCTCAAACTACTGCTCTTCGAGCATTTTCCCTTTCGAGATAGAAACTATAAGATACGCCTTTAACTTTCATCTATTCCCACCAACAATTGCTGAATTTGATTAACTAGTAGGTGGAAATCGTCAGAAAGCTTAAAAGTAACCGGTTGGATCTTTTTAGCTTTTATTGCCATATAATTTTAATTTTAATTTTGCCTTTTTGTTTTTATCTTATAGTTTTTATCTTTGAACTGAGAGTCTACATAGGCTATGGTATCCATGAGACCGGTTGCTTCCAAGTAACGGACATGCCCAATACGGGTGTCTAGATACAGCAGTTAACGCTGCTATCTGGCACTGGATCCGATTAGCATTGGTACATGCACAGTACTCCGTGGATGTACAGGTAGATGTTGTCCAGGTGTGATATCGCTTGCTCTCCTACGGACCTCCGTTAACTATCAAGGTTTGTGCTAAGCTATCTAACACATAATGATGAGGGAAAAATATGGGGTGCGGAAATCATCCAGTAGTCCTGTAACAAATCACATCCCGATGAGCTTCTTCTGGCTCTATGGGAAAGGAGATAAAATAGATGGAATACCCGTCCGCTAAACACGACATTAAAACACCACCACATTCGCTATCTCCACTCCTAGTTCGTAAACATGATCCAAAAAAGAAAAAAGAAGAAGAAGAAAGAAAGCTACCATCTGGCAAGCCCCCCTCTTAAAGCAAAATACACCTCTCCCTAACAAAAAGATCTCTCAAAATCTCCACCCCTGCCCTCGCCGCCCCCTTTTTCCTCTCCCCCAACCCAGCCGGAAACTCCACAACAGCCCTCCGCAACAACGCAAGCCCCAAATCCCCCCAAAACCCCACAATCCTCACCGCAGAATGCCTCAGCAGCGCACTCAGCACAAGCAAATGCGTATCCTGCACTTCACCAGCCGGGACATTCAAGATATTAGCACACGCGGACCAAAAGTGCGTGTTCGGCACGGGGTTCTTGCGCGTCGTCTTTGAGAAATTCCGGAGCGATATCGCCGCAAACCCGGCACCGAGGCCGATCATGCGCTCCTCGTGTGTCTGCGGCGATACGAAGCGTCCGGGCGATTCACCGTCACGCTCTCGCCACCATCCGACGGCCAGTTTGCCATCGCTCGTGGCCTCGTTGCCATAGAACCCCCACAGGACGGGGCAGATGGCATGGTATTTTGCAAGTAGGAGGTCGATCATTGAGATGCCGTTGTAGGTGAAGGCTTCCATGGAGAAGATTTGGGCGGTGAGGACCCCTAGGGGCTCGGCGTATTTGGGCGTTATGCCGGCTTCGGCGATGAGTTGGGCAATTATGGCCTTTGAGAAGATGTTGAGGAGGTAGAGGAGGAGGGCGGGGGCTTTGGTTTCGGCTTCGTTGGTGCCGGCGTTGAGTTGTTGCGGGGGGAATGCGAGGAATTGGCGTATGTCGACAGAGGGTTCGGTGAGGATTAGGGCTTTCTTGAGGACTGTGGTTATTTCGTTGGTCTGGCGATTTTAATTTTAGCCGAGGGGGTGGTCGCGGGCGGGTTCGTCAGTTGAAGAATATAAGGGAAAAAGAAGATCTCGTAGATGAAACGTGATGCGTATGGTGTGGTACGACGAGTCTTGGGCTAGATCGAGCAGGATGGGGGGAATGGGGTTAGGGGGTTCGGGGGAAAAAACATACAGGAGTGCGGTTTGCGACCTTGTCATCCACGACGAGCTGGCCAACGCATTTCTTTATCGTCCGGCGCATGTCACCCATATGCTGTTTCAGAATTGGATTCTTCTTCGTTTCACCGACCATGTACTGTCGAAACTTCTTGAGATGCTGATGCAGCTCTAGGTATCGTTGATGCTCCGCGATTTGTTGGGGAGTACGGTGTGCGGCTCCCAGGGCTTTTGTTGCAGCTGACGCTTGATCTGCCTCCTCCTGCTGCTGCTGCTGCTGTATCTGTTTGTTCTCTGCTGCCTTGGTTCTGGCCAGCTCCTGCGCAGCTTCCTCCTTTTTCTTCTGTTCCTGCACCACGCGTTCCCGTTCCTGTTGAGCCTTTGCTTCCTTCGCAGCCGTCAGCGCCTTTTCAGCCTCCTCAGCCTTCCTCCTCTTCTCCTCTTCCTCAGCTCTCTTCAAAGCTTCCACCCGCACAGCCTCCTCCCGTTCCCACCGTTCCCTCTCCGCCTTTTCCCGCTCAATTTTCTCCCTCCTCTGCTTTTCCAGCTCCTCTTTCCGTCTTCTTTCCTCCTGCTCTGCACGTAGATGGAGTTGCAAAGTCTCCTCAGCCTCAAGCCTAAGAGCATCACGCTTGGCAGCTGCAGCTGTCAGAGCTGCATTGTGTACCTCTTCCTTCTCCCGATCTAGACGGTCTAGCTTTTCATAGAAGGATTTGCGCTCGTAGGCCCGTACTTTCTTGAGCTCGTTGTTGTGTAGACGGACCTGCTCTAGGTCTTTTGCAAGCTCTCGTATAAGCTGCCTCGAGGGGCTATCCGGTTGGCGGGGAGAATAAAGCTGTGGTCTACCCATGGTGACAGGAGTAGTGGAGCAGGGAGTGGTAGTAGTGTGACGTTGTTATATACGCGAACAAATATCCGGATGATGAGGTCGCCCCGGGGGGGAAGAGGAAATGATTGTGTTTCCCTATCTGATGCCGCACAAGCTATTACTACAGATGATCAAATCTGTAAGTTACAAATTGCAAGAGTAAGCGTCGCTGCCGTGTGTTGTTCGAGAGTCGTTGCCAGAACAAAGAAAGTCCGTCGTAAAAACCGAACGCTGCCAATTGAGCTGTACCCCTCGAATATTGAACAAAGCCTTTACTCCCCTCCTCAAACTACAATAGGATTCGGGAGAACCTATTCCCATCCAGGGAGCAAACTCGTTTTCTTCTGTTTTTGCAGGAAAATAGCCTCTTTCCTCGCTTCCAATGGGCGCCTGGGATCGTGGTGGTGATGCAAACGGATAGGGCGTCCGCTCTCAAACCAACGTTTTAAAAGTAAATCCGTCAATTAAATAAAACTCGACTTCCTCCCTACCCTACCTAGCCCGTCACCAATTAATGACCACCCACTCTCTGTCTCACTAACCCACAGGAAGATTTCGACCTCTCCCACTATGCGGGGAGTTGTTGCCCACAGCAAACACGCGGGCAGACGGAGCAGGCGAAGTCTGCTTTCAGAGTCAAGCGGTTGCAATCGGTATTGGGAAACCGATTCCTGGTTACGGAGACGTGAGACGGGATTTCGGTAGTTGGCGGAGGCACTTGGCACGAGGGATTCAGACGGGGGAGCCTGATTATATGGTATAGTATGGACGGTAGTGGGGGGATGTTGCCGTTGCCATATCGCGCTGGAACTCCAGCTCCTTGATAATTGCAATGCTATGTAAAATTGGCAATAACGGCTATTATTACGCGAATGTATGTACTCACCGCAGGAGTTATATTCGTAAAGATGCTGGGATTCCTGGAAAAGGGTTGGCTGTTGTGATAATTTAGCGGTTGGTCGAAAGCGCTCGCCGTCATCGATCGTTTTTGAAGCTGAGGCTGAAAACCGGATTTGTTAACTAGACGCGCGTTAAAAGTGGCTAATGAGATGGGATGGATGGACTAGTCATTTTTTAAGCGGCGGGTAAATGGGTACGTACTCGTGGAGATTCAACTGAACAGAAAATTACTTCTGTTATTCCGAAAATAACATAATAGACCTGCTGGGGATAATACAATATACAATAAATGAAAAAGTCAAAGGAACGGGGAAAAGCAAGGTTCTGGGTTCGACTCTGGGAACCAAACTCTCAATGGGGACCGCCAGATGGGCACAGGAATGTGAAGGAAGGTCTGGAAAGCTTGGGGGCTTTCTGACCCTTGGTTGACAGATGGAGAGCGAGGAGGGTTGTCTAGGTATATAACGGCTACATGGAGCGTCCAGAGTGGAGTGACGGCTGAAGTAGGTAACTTTAGCAAAGAAGGTTTTCGTAGTTCTACGGTTACAATTTTTCTGGGAGTAACGTGCATCATACCCAGGTAGGTAGCTCGACAAGGGTGGTGATGCTGGTAATGGTGATATGGCAGTATGGCAGTTGGCAAGCCAGAAGAGCGGCAAACTTTCCGCTGCTGGTGTTGGTTAGGGCTTCTTATTTCAATATTGTATGTTTTTGTGCTATGTTGGATTAAATATAGAGCTCAGAGAGCTCCAGAGCTCCAAAGCTTACCGTTAGCAGCAAGCTCCGTCTCTTTCCTTTCCTCCTTGTCTTTCCCCTTCCGCTCTTATACGTATCTTTTTTTTCTCTTCCCTTTTCTTCTCCTCATACACGCCGTCTTGAAAGCAGAAATCTCTTTCTTTTCATCACTTCCAACCCACGTCCATTCATCTCCTCCACGCCCATTTTGCCCGCCGGCCTATAGCTGTCGCTTTTATGCCCTGGCAAGTCGCCACCTCCCCTGTCAGCTCTCTCGCAGCATGTGCACCAACCTACACCTATCAAACCTCGTAGCTATTTGGAAAAGAAACACACATCGTCGATTCAATAACTGTTACTAGCTCTCTCTCTCTCTCTCTCTCTCTTTGTTTCCGTCGATCTCTCAACACCTTCATCTCACCCTCCGCCCCTAAACTGGGTTCGAAAAAAAGCCAGGTGTCTCCAAACGGACCAGTGCTGCAATATATGAAACCTCCACTAAACAACCACGACCCCGAAAACACATCCTATCCCCCTCCCTCCTTCCCTCCCTTTTGAGAAGTAATAAGTAATAGTAAGGATCAAGGACGAGGCAACGGAAGATCTACAAACGAATACCTCAACGCCCATCTCAGACTACTAGGGTGATATTTGCATAAGCGATACCAGAGCAGGTGAGTCGTGGGAAATTTTATATATGAGAAGGTTGAGGCTTAAGCTTCCTACCTATTGCCCGCTCTCCTCTGCATATCTGCATATACAGAGTACTCGTCTACACCCGGAGAGAAGACAGACCCAGTCTAGCTCCTTGACCCCGCCAAACCATTGGTGAAAAGCATCCGCACTCCAATTAGCGCTGGGACTGTGGATTGTGTGGCTGCTTTTTTGCTTTCATTTATCCCCCCTCCTTTTTGCTCGCTGGTTTGTGTCTGCAGGCGGCTAGTCTGCCGGCTAGTGCCAACCATTTGGGCCATTATTTGGCTGCGTGCTGCTGCTGTCACTTCCCTGTTGGCTGGCTTCTTCCCTGTCCGTTCGCCCCATCGTCTGGTCTCCGCCATCATTTCACCCCGTCTCACTCTGCGTCTTCTGCGTCTTCTGCGTCTTCTGCGTCTTCTGCTTCTTCTGCTTCTTCTGCTTCTACTTCTGCTTCTGCTTCTACTTCTGCTCGTCTATATCCTCAACCTCTCCTTCTCCTCTGCCATTCCTGCTTCTCGTCTCCCCCCCCCTCTGTCCCTCCCTCATCCTCTAGATAATTTTTATCACCGCTCCTTTCTGCTGTTTCCTCGTCTCCCTTCGCTCCCTCCATCCCCCGCTATCCGGGCTGTGGCTTCTAGTCCTCCTCTCCTTCTGTTTGTTTGTCTGGTGAAACTCCAGCAGCAACTCTCCCTCCAAATCTATCCCCTCCCCACACACCTCTTAAGCTGGTGTATTGCTGCTCCGTTGTTTCTCTGCCTCACTCTTCCATTAAGACGCCACTGGTACCTTCTCTTGGCCTCGTCTTCTTCTTGTGTAGCATCCAAATCCAGCCGTCATCTGCTAATCTCAGCCCGTTGTCAATTCGTTTCTGCAGCTCCTGGCCTTGGGTTATTCCTCTCTACATCGAATTCCAGTCAACTTCGAGCAACTTTTCAACTATACCTCTCCGCCTATCGTTGCTTGTCTGCAGCAACCTCTCCTAGGTCTGCCGGCGTAATCACCATCTCGCCGTCTCCCCGGCCGTCATTCTCGTCGTCTTCTTGACGCCTCCATTCGCCCTTCTCCTCGGTCTCTCCTTCTAGCCACCAGGTGCTCGTCCCCTCCTTCCTCCTCTCGGCTGATTGGAAATCGATAAATAAAAACAAAATTATAATCTGGAAACACAAACAATCACAAGAAACAACAATAACAATAACAAGAGCAACAAATAATAATTTGGTTTAAAAAACATTTCCCCAACTACGCTGCTGGGTTCTCGAGCCTCTCCTTTTTATCCACAGAGACGAGATACTTCCACTTCTACAACTGCAATACTTTTTTGCCACCCCACCCTGCTCCTATCCATTTATCATATTTTCGAGACTGTCTCTTCCCTCTAGTGAACCTTTGGTCTACAGGTGGGCCAGCTTCGAAATACTCATTGCTCAAAAAGCTTCGTTCCATCGCTTGAGTTGATATTCTCTGTAAGTGAACTTGCGGAAAAATACGCTAACTCCCCGCCCCACCACAATCTCTCCCCTAAACGTTCTCCTGTAGCTCCATTTGTTCTCTCCTCCTCCCATCTCATCTCATTCCCCTCCTCATTCCTCTGCTATAAAATATTGGCCCAATCTTATTCCTCTGTCCTCAACTGACTTGCTTTTGCGTCTGGAGCTTGGATCAGCCACGTCGCCTCAAAAGCTGCACACCAAGCCTCGTTAAGCATTGGCTAGCAGCCCAAGTTCTGGTCATTAGCCGTGGTTTAGCCTCCCTTTATCCACATCGATTCTTTTTCTTGCCGACGCATCGTAGCACCCACGCTCGCGGAAGTTAACTCCTATATAATATTCTGTACGACATAATCTAAAGCCCTTGTGCTTTATCAATCTCAACCATGGATCAGCAAGGCCAGTCCATCCCCGGCCCTGCCGGTAGACGCCTGCACATTGCCCATCGGAGAAGCCCTCAGAGCTTACTCCCTAATGAGTACGTCTCAGATGTTTTTTGTGATTTATTTTATCTTTTCCTCTCTCCTGATAGTGACCCTATGTTCATTTGCTTATGTGTATACACAGTGGAACAACTAGCTTTACAACAACAGATTGAACTACTCCAACAGCAGCAGCAGCAAATTGCTGCCACCCATCAGCAATACGTCAACATGGGGCTTTTGCAACCGCAACAGTCTCTCCAACATGTGGCTGCCTACTCGCCAACCATGCAAACTCAGGGGCTTCCTGGTGTTACCCATAATAATTTTCAGTTTCCCCAATCTCAACAACAGCAGCCACAACATATGGGCGTACCCTTAAATACCCAAAATCAGCCCTCCCACCGGCGTAACCAGTCTGCACTTCCAAACGTTGGCATGGGACCCCCACCTGCGCCTTCTTCGGGTGCAGCCGGTTCTAATTACGATTATAACCTTGGTCAAGGTCAAGGTCAAGGCCAAGGCCAGGGCCAGGGTTCGTCTAATCAGAATCGTGAGAATGGCCAGCCATCTCGTGGTCGTGGGGGTGCTCCTCCTGGAGGTGGCCATCAGCGCCGTCATTCACTGGCTCTCCCCGAAGCGAGAAAAGCAGCTGAACTCGCCCAGCAAAAAAGGACTACATCTGGATTCCAATTCCCAATTCCAGGTGCCTCGGGTGCTTCTAGCACGTCCAACCAAGGTGAAGGTTCTCCCACTGAAAAGCCTTCCCAGCCTGCCTCGTCCTCCCCTCAACCTCCCCAAGGATTAGGTGTTCAACGGGCTGGAAACATTCGATCTGGTCCCCATACGCGTAGTCAGTCCTTGGCCATGGGCAGCGGCCGCAGTGGTGGAACTTCGGGTGGCAGAGGTGCTGGCGGGTTCCAGTTCCCACAATCAAGTGAGGGATCTCCAGCACCGGATTCTTCTCGACGCTCCAGCCAGCCATCGCATGGTCGATCAGGCTCCCGAAACTTCGATAGCAACTGGCGTCAACAGAATACAAACCAGAATCAAGGGCAGGACCAGCAACGAGCTCCCATGGGAAGCTTTGGCCAACAGCAAGGTGGAGCCAACTTTCAACCAGGTCATCGCACACGTGGGTCCGTGAACCAGTCGGTCGGATCACTTGGTTCCTTCCAGTATACAGGTCAACCCCAGCTCATCCAGCTCCCTCAGGGACAAGTTGTCATGGCACCCCCGCAAATGTTTGCTGGTCAGCATCTAAATCCTCTTCAAATTGCCCAGCTTCAAGCGATGCAAGCAAGCGGTCAGCTGAATGTTCAAAATCTAGGTCTGCAAGCCACACCTCAGCATGTTGCCCCCCAGCTGTCTGCTCAGCAACAGCAGCAGCAACAGCAGCAACAGCGTAAAACACTTTTTACCCCATACTTGCCCCAGGCATCACTGCCTGCTCTGTTGAACGACGGTCAACTGGTGGCCGGTGTTTTGAGAGTCAACAAGAAAAATAGATCCGACGCTTACGTTACTACGCCTGACCTTGATGCAGATATTTTCATTTGTGGAAGCAAGGATAGAAACCGTGCCCTTGAGGGTGATCTTGTTGCTGTTGAGCTGCTGGATGTTGATGAAGTATGGAGCCAGAAGCGAGAGAAGGAGGAGAAGAAAAAACGCAAGGATATCACGGAAACCAGGAGCGGTAGCACCGCCGGGATGGATAAGAACGCTCGATCTGACTCTATTACCAATGGCGATGCTGGACAAATTGCGCCCGATGGAAGTATTCGACGACGAGGCAGCCTCCGCCAAAGGCCCACTCAGAAAAAGAATGATGACGTCGAAGTTGAAGGTCAGAGCCTCCTTCTCGTGGAGGAAGATGAAATTAGCGATGAACATAAGCCACTCTATGCTGGTCATGTTGTCGCTGTGATCGAACGTGTTGCTGGCCAGATGTTTGCCGGCTCTCTCGGCCTTCTTCGGCCCTCCAGCCAGGCTACCAAAGAGAAACAGGAAGCAGAGCGACAGGCAAGAGAGGGCGGTCATTCTCGTCATCACCATGACCGTCAACAGGAGAAGCCGAAGATTGTGTGGTTCAAACCCACTGACAAACGTGTTCCTTTAATCGCGATTCCAACCGAACAAGCTCCCCGCGACTTTGTTGAAAAGCATGCTGACTACGCCAATAACATATTTGTTGCGTGCATTAAGAGGTGGCCCATCACATCTCTTCATCCATTTGGAACACTCGTTGAACAACTTGGTGCCATGGGCAACTTAAAGGTGGAGACGGATGCCTTACTCAGAGACAACAACTTCGCCTCTGATGAGTTCTCTGAAGCTGTGTTGAAGAATGTTGGCTTCGAGAAATGGTCCGTAAAGGACGAAGGCGAAGCCTTGCTGGCTAATAGGAGGGACTTCCGGGATGAAACCACTTTCACTATCGATCCCAACGGCTACAAGGAATTGGACGACGCCATCCACGTCAAATCACTCTCTGATGGGAAGGTGGAAGTTGGCATCCATGTGGCAGACGTCGCTCATTTTATCAAGAGTAACTCGCTCGTTGATAGAGAGGCTAAGAAGCGTGGTACTGGAGTATACCTTATGAATCGTGTGGTTAACATGATCCCGCCTCGCTTGGCGACTGAAATATGTTCGCTTTTGCCTGGCGAAGAAAGATTAACCGTCAGTGTCGTCTTCCAAGTGAATTCCGCCACCGGCTCCGTGGAAGGAGAACCGTGGATTGGAAAGGGGGTAATCAAGAGTTCAGGGAAACTCACGTACGACGAGGTGGATGCCGTCCTTAGCGGAAATTTTGATGTTGAACTCCACGGGGCTACTGTGGAGGATATCAAGACTTTACACGTGAGTGTTAAATATGGGTTACCCGACTGACAAAACTTCCTTTACTAACTAATGCGGGACAATATTCAGGATATTGCCATTAAATTTAGAAGAGCGAGATCTGGCAATCGGTCCTCCAATATACCAGCTCTGCGACTCCTCTACCAGCTTGACGATGAAAATGTCCCAGTCGAACAGAACATTTTCGACACCACACCGGCCCACGAACTCATTGAGGAATTAAGCCACAAGGCGAATTCCTTTGTCGCAAAGAAACTCCTGTCTGCTCTTCCGGACAAAGCATTCCTTCGCCGCCAGGCACCACCTAACTTCCGACGGCTGAAGACTTTCGTTGACCGGATGACGAGACTGGGTTATGACATCGATCCTACTAGTAGCGGTACACTCCAGACCAGTCTCTTCCAAATAGAAGACGTTGATATTCGCAAGGTATGATCTGAAAATTCTTAGCCTAATGCATACATACCCAGATATATTTATATATATATCCTCTCAGGGAAAATCTCAGCTGCTAACAACTATTATCTCCGCAGGGAATGGAAACACTGCTTCTGAAGGCGATGCAGCGTGCGAAGTATTACGTTGCAGGAAATGTGACAGAGGATCAGCGACAGCACTACGTTCTTAACTTGCCTGTATACACTCACTTCACCAACCCCTCTAGGCGCTACGCAGATATTATCGTCCATCGACAACTAGAAGCAGTACTCTCCAATGTTGAATGTACGGATGACGTCGAAATTCTTACCAAAACCGCTGAACAATGTAATAATAAGAAGGATTCTGCTCAGACTGCTCAGGAGCAAAGTGTTCACATCGAATCCTGCCGCGTTATGGACAAGAAACGAAGTGAGATTGGAGGTGACCTGATCAGCGAGGGTATTGTCCTCTGCGTTTACGAATCTGCTTTCGATGTCCTCATTCCAGAATATGGCTTTGAGAAACGTGTCCACTGTGATCAGTTGCCATTAAAGAAGGCCGAGTTCCGTAAGGGGGAGCGGGTTCTCGAGCTATACTGGGAGAAAGGTGTCCCGTCATCCGCTTACATTCCTGAGGATGAGCGCCCCAAAGCTGCCCAGAGTACACGTGCTGCCAATGCTGCCGCCGCCGCTCGTGAAGCGGAGGCTGCAAGGGAACGAGCTCGCGAGCGAGAGGAAGCTCAGCGGAAACAAACGGACACCGGTACAATCTCAACTGATGATGTTGACGCTCTCTTTGACGACGATGAGGATGAAGACGACGATATTTCCGAGGCCACGGAGATGGCTGCAGGCGTCTCGCTTAACTCCCCAGTGGATCGGTCTACTCAAAGCATGCCTCCATCTCCTACAAGGAATGGCCACGTCCAGCAGACCCCTCATCGCACTCGTTCAGATCCGAAGATCGCAAGTAGCACTGTTGAAGCTCCCGAAACCAAATTGACCAATAAAGAAAAGTATCTCAAGCTTTTCAAGCTGCGGGAGGAGGATGGTGAATATATTCAGGATGTCACTGAGATGACTAGGGTGCCAATCATTCTGAAGACAGATCTGACCAAGAGTCCACCGTAAGTTTTCAATACAGGCCCTTAAATAAAAATAAAAAAAAAATTTGTCTTGCTAACTCGAATGCATAGGTGTCTCACTATTCGCTCCGTAAACCCGTACGCTCTTTAAATTGGCAACACAATTAAGGATACGTTCGATAAAACTATATTTTTTTACAATCCGCTCATCCACTTATTCTATCCTTATTTAGCTCATTGTTATTGTTACTTCCGAAATCGATTATCTATTCGTGTCGTGCGCGTCTATTTTTTATGCATCTCTTCCCATGCATTTATTCCGACACTCTCCTATCGCTGTGGCGAAGTGTCACTCCTTTGTCGAAGCACAGTTATTGAAGAAGGAAAAGAATATATATATATATATATTGATTCTAGCGACTTATCAGTTCGGTTACTCCTTGCCCGCGCCCCTTTCTAGTTCCTAGTCAGCATTTGATTATACATTCATTTCCATCGGACCCTACCCGACTCGATCGTTAGACTATTACAGGGACTCTCACCTGTCTATGTTGTCATTGTGCCTCAATATCCACCCCGCTACTAGGCATCATATTGGACTGGTCATTTTCATTTTTTATCGTATTGAAACGAGCTTTAAAAAAAATATTCATGTCAGCGGTTCTAGCCTGTTGTGGCTATGGAATGGAAAGCACAGGCGAGAAGGGAAGAAAGAAAGGAAGAAAAATTGTTTATTTTCGGATCACGTCCCCTTTTTCTAGATTGATTGAAACAGGGGAAAGAGGTTGTTGCTTTTTACAAGATTGTATTGATTGGTTCCAGCATATGCTCTCTGAAGGCAACGGAACAGTTTGTTGTTTGAAGAGGGAAACGAATGGAAGTGAAAGGGATATCAGATTGAGATGAGTTGAGAAAAGAAGGACTTATAAGTTATGCTCTTATCTGTTTTCAGTGTCTTGCATTTTTAGTTTAGCGTTTGTGCTTCCTTTTTCTAGGTTAGGAGCTGGTTTTATATTTACATTTTTATTTTCTAATTTTTAAAATTATTCTCTTTGCACAAGTTGTGCTACTAATCAAAGATAGATTATATTTATATAAAGCTCTCTCTGGACCGTGTTTGAGACACTCCCGATAATAACACTCACTTGTTAGAGCTCATCAGGTTGCAAGAAAGATTGAGCTGGCATTCATTCATTCAATTCATGTTTTCTATCATAATCATGTGTATCATAACTACAGTACATAACCACTTAATCCGCAAAAAAGTAGAATCATCAGCCTCGGCCTCAAAAAGACAAGAGAAGAGAAAGAGACCCAACCCACTTACTCCCCAAAAGAAGAGGCACTCTTCCCTTGAAGAACAAATACCAAAGGTAGACTAGACAGACAGACGCCCCGCCAAAAAGAGCAAAAAAAAAAAAAAAAAAAAAAAAAACCAAAGAATCCGACAGAAACGAGAATAAAGCCAAATACAATGAATACAATGAGTCGGCGCGTGCCTCGTGATGCTTGCTGGTGGTGATAGAGGTGGTAGGAGTGGGAGGGGTCCCTTTGCATATATATGTTGCATGTCTGGGCAGAGCTGGAATGTGTACATGTACACGTACAATATTAATTGCAGCCTACAAGCTGTTGACAACTCCTTTACAACCGCCTCAACCCGACCCGCGGCTTCGCTTTGGCGGGCGCGGAGGAAACCCTCCGTGCCGTTATATTATTATTAATATTATTAATATTATTATTGCTTTTGTTGTTGCCATTCGTATTCGACGATTTGGGTACGGATATCGACGATGGAAATGGCGGTGGCGGTGGGGGGAACTTTTGCTTCTGATTTTGCTGCTGTGATTTGTTATTTGCGGTGGTAGTAGTAGTAGTAGTAGTAGTAGGAGTAGTAGTAGTTGTTGTTGTTGTACTAGCAGCGGTAGGAATGATAATAGTGGATGCCGTAGATGCTTCATTCTCCTTGCCGTCGTCGCTGGGTTTCTCGTTCGGCGGTTGTAGGAGTGGTTGCGGTGTTGGTGTTGGTGATGGTGGTGACAGGCTAAGTATTGAGCTTTGACTAGAACCGGCCCTGTCAACCTGCTTGCCGCCGTTGCCACGAGATTCTTTGTTGCTGTTGTTGTTATGCGCAAGGGTCGAAACTGGGTCCCGGTAATCCTCCCGTATCCGACCGGAAGCGTTGACACCTCTACTCAGTACTGAGAGTTTGAGAGACTTCCGGGGTGGCAGTTCCAGCTGCTGTGTCCGAATCTGCTGCTGCTGCTGTTCTTGTTGTTCCCTCGCAAGGGCGTTTGCCGCGATATTCCGCTCTGAAGGGGTCAAGCCGTCGTCGTTGGAATTTGAACGGGAATGGGCGTTGTTCATATCATCATCATCATCATCATCGGCGGCGGCGCCGGAATTTACCAGAACAAACTCAGGTTCACTCGGGCTCGCGAGGACGGCAAGTGGACGTTTCCCCAGGACACCTTTCCGCGAACTACAAGGGCTTATGGCTACCAGTGAAAGTGATAGCGAAGGGTCATTTTCCTTGGACGGGCTCCCGGTATCTTCGTTATCTGATTCATCTTCGTGAGGTTGTTGTTGTTGATCTTGCATGAAGGGCGACGATGACGACTGCAATGACGACAGTAAACCATGCTGACAAGTCTGTTTAACCCTGATATCTAGCTTTTCTGTCCGCAGGCTGCTTTGTTTCCGCTGTGTAACAGGCTTCTTCATGATCACGGTCGACACGGACGAGGTGCTGGCCGTTTTGCGTGAACCGATTGCTGCTGCTAGGCGATCTTCGTCTTCCGTAATAACTATGCCACTTTCATCTCCCCTCCTCTTAGCCTCCATGACAGCATCTTTAATGTCCTTGGGTATTGGCGCATGGATGGAGGTCATCAGCTTTGCCTGACGCGCGAAAGCTTCATAATCGTCTCTGAGGAGGCTGCCAGCTGCAGAATTCAATGCGGAATCCGGATTGGGGTGTATCAGGAGACAGGATATCGTCTGCGGTGGGGGTATAAATTGTGAGTGAGCAGATCGGTGCAGAAGAAGGTATGTGTTTCCCCAAACGCGTTTTTCTACAAAAATATAAAAAAAGGAAACGGCAGGTGGAGGGTTAAAAAAACATACAATCAAAACATCCCTCAACGTCAGCTTCGCCTCCCAATCTCTCTTTAGAGTATCTACACAGACCGCGCCGGTTGACTCATCGACATTTGGATGCCATATGCGCGTCTTAAATGCCACTTTGGGAGGGTTCTTGGGATAATCCTCAGGGATGCGCAGATGTAATTGCCAAAGACCCTGAGAGTAGGGAGTCCCCTGCGGCCCCGTAAGCAGGACGGTGAGCTGAGTGAGGTCGTCTGAAAATGATGAAGAAGTGCTCGAAGGCGGGAAGAGGTAGTGGGGTGGTAGGCCGCCTCTATGGAGAGAGGCATGGTCTGATGCCAGCCTTCGAAAGCTGGAGGCCTGTAGATGCGTTATTTTTCGAGTGCTTTGTTGTTTTGATGTGGGATTATGAGTGATATAGCAATGGGCTGGGTTTGTTGGTTGAGCGAACTCACCATGCTGAATGCGCTCTATATAAGCCTATATTTATCCAGTGTAAACACGACTACGTAGAAAAGCTACCTATAGATAGCAGAGTTCATATGAGAAGGGTTGAGGAACGCGGGCACCATACTGTGACAAGGTGGGTGAGGAGAGCAGATGGAAATGAAGTGTCCAGGAATTACAAAATAAAAAAAATAAAAAATATAAGCATAAATAATCAATCCCAACTCTATGGCTGTTAGCCTTGGTCTGCGATGTTTTGACGCTGATAAAAGAGAGGAGCGATGCGGCTGAGAGAAGGGAGAGAGATACGCTAGGCCCGATATGGCATGGCGCAGGTAAAACAACTCGTGACCTGGCAAGCCCTGATTGGGATAGTGGCAGAAAGTATCTGCAGATTGATGAGACCGCGTTCAGTGAGAAGGATTGGGTGAGGAGAGTGGATAGCTATTATTGTACTCCGTATTGCTAACCAGGTGGCGTTGAACGAGTTGTTGTTCCTGCATGCTGTGGTACTTTTGACCGCTTTCTCTGGTTCACAGAAATTTACCAAGTCTAGAAACCACTTGCCGAACAGAGGCTACCGCTGCTAATATTCTGAGAGCGAAGTTATTATTGTAAGGAGTTGAATCGTGAACATGTCTGATTTTACACTAATAACAAACCAAGTCTATCAGGAAAAAAAAAAAAAAAACGTCAGTCGTACTTAGGAAATCACCAAATGAAAACGAATACCATGGCCAACTCAACAGAACGCCTGATGGATACCAGGATGTAATTAAAAATTAACACTGTAGTGTGGTAAGGAAAGGAAAAACAGTCATTGATTTGTTGCGCTGCCTTGTCCCGGCTAAGGAATTGCCTTTCCGGATTCCCTGGCCTGTTCTCCTTCCCAAGTGTTTGCTATACAGACGTAAACGTAAAAGTAGAAATTAAAAAAGTAGGTTCGCCAACTAAGCCCAATACAAAAAGACAGGACTGTCAGTTTTTCCACCCGGTTGTCAAATAGGCCGGCTTAACTGGGAACAAGAAATATTAAGGTATGGATTTCGTGCACGCAGACTCCTCATTATTTATTAGGTTCTCCATTTACAGAAGAGCAGCGAAGAGAGCTGCAGCAAGACCGAGTCCGAAGGGAACGCTGACAGAGAATCCAGCGCCCTCAACCGGGGGGAAGGATGGGACTGAAGGGTAGCCACCAGTGCCAGTGGGTAGGGCGCTGGATGGGGGAGCGCCAGTGGGGTAAGTGGGAACATCGCTTCCAGTAGGATACTCGGACTTGATAGGCTCGGGGTGTTTGGTTTCAGCCGGGTAGCTTGAAGTAGGATACTCGGACTTGGTAGGCTCGGGGTATTTGGTCTTAGCCGGGTAGCTTAAAGTAGGATACTCGGAGCTGGTAGGCTCGGGGTATTTGGTCTCAGCCGGGTAAGAGGGCTCCGGTGGGTAGGACTCCGAAGGGTGAGAAGGTCCAGCGGAATACGAAAGCTCCTGAGAGGGATATCCGGCAGGCTACAGTGTAGAGAGAAGTTGTTAGCTTTCTTGCTGCTTTTCACGGAACCCCTTTGCACTGTTGTGGCATCTCAAAAAAAAAGAGTACTTACAACTCCAGCCTGGACGGAGACGACGAGAGCCGAAACGGCAATGGCGACAACGGAGAGATGCATTTTTGAAATTTTGAAATCAAGTTTCTTTGTGTGTTTGTGTTTGTGTTGTCGGAATTATGGCCAAATAAATAAATGGATTAGAGCGACCTTTGAAAAACGAGAGGCAGAAGAAATATTCTTCGAAAAGATGAGCAAATATTATTAAGTATGATAGATGATCTGGAAGAAGGAAGAGTCAAGAAAAATTTGGACAAGAGAGGGAGGGGAGGGTCCAGGAGAATATATAGGCATGCAGGTTGGGCGCTGTGCCCGCCCACGCTCCTTTCTCTCGTCCCCCCCCATAACCCTAACCCCCCCTCCCTCTCCTCCTCTTCCTTCTTGCCGTCACACGGAACCTAGCTAGTTCGCAGACACAGAAACACAAAGAACCAGAAGGCTTGCCAGCCAACCCTGGATCTGGATTCGAATCTGGGAGGCAAGGCAGAGCGGATCCAACCTTGAGTCTTTTTGCCAACTTGCCAGTTGGAACCCCTGTTAATGCAATGGTACTCCGTACCCAGCCTGCAACTACTTGTTAGCTCCTTGGCCCAACGCGTGTTGTTCAGTGGTCATGCATGAACTGTGGTCGTATTATTTAATTATCAATTGCGATGGCTGGAACAGTGGAGCGGGAGTTATGTTATGCAAAGGAAGGTTGAAGATCAGAGCGCGCCGGAGACGGGCGTTCGGCGAATCAGACTTCGCAGTTCCCTGGAAAGGCTTGCCGCGGCCGCGCCGGCTAGCGAAAAATTGGGGTTGCCCCCTGTTTGGCGTCTCGGTTTGTCTTACTCACAAGTCACCCGTCACCAGCCCAGTCCTGGGCGGATGATTTCATTGATTGGTGATTGTTGCCGGCAAGAACACGCAATGACGAGTCTTCTGTTCTCTTTTTTCGTCACCCTTTCTTTTTGACTCGCTTGCTTGCCCTTTTGTTTTCTTTATTTTATTTTATTTTTTTTTGAAAAGTTTGGGTCCGATACTTTCGGGCCCGAGAGCCAGTCTCTTTTTTTTCACTCCCATAAAAAATACTCAAAGACTGGCGCTGGTGGGTGGGCACCTGGAAGGTAGTTACATCACTATTATCTTGAGTTAGTCGTCATCATAAGCCAGCCATGCTGGCCTGTACTCCGTACTCTGTACTCCGTAGCAGGTGATTCGATGAGGCTTTTTTTTTTTTTCTAAGCAAAAATACTAATATTCCAATCCCGTCCGTCTACGGAGTAAACTTTCTCCCACAACCCATGAGATGTGTAATGACAGCTCGAGGAACCAGAAACGACTGATGTCTACCAGTATACAAATGTGCACATTTAAAGTATATGTCACCCGCCAGTTTCCAGGGCTCGCAGCCTCGCAGGGCAACAACCACTACTTTTCAAAACTGGTCCGTAGTTCGTTGAAGGCAAATTAGAATTGGATCGCGGTGAGCCCCATTATTAACCCAATTGCCCCCCCACTAAGCCGAAACACCGTCGTCTTTGCCTCTTCTCTTTGGTGAATCCCCAGCGGCTACAAAGATCCAGGCATGGCCTCATGGAAAGGGTGGACCAGAATTCTCAGGGCAACGCCAGCGAATTTCTTTACGCTGCGTAGGCAGAAATACATTCCTTATACATCACATCGCCGAATTACTACTCACACCAACCAACTGATTTATACGGAGTATATGAAATAGCTTGGGAATTGCTTTTCCGTTAATTAATACATAAAAAACTTAAAATGTAGTGTGGCTTGCCATATTTTCAATTGCATACCTAAGACCCATTCTGATCGGTCAGTGAGTTTATCACATCAACTTGGAGTCACATGACTTGTGAATATACCTTACGGGAAGAAGGTAGGGTTAATTTACAGTGATTACACCACCCGTGTCATGTGTCACCAATCATAACACATGTCGCTGAATATCAAGATGATGTTGAGACAGCACAGGGCGTGTATACAGAAAACTTGACCTCGCTAAGTGCGCCACTTGACCTCATTACATAATCATGACCCCGACCTCACACAATATGTTGGTGATTACTACACCTACCCTAGTCACGTGCCACCCCAACCTATTCATTTAGTGTAACTCGCGTAGATAGATTACACACATAACACAACAACATTATTCTTCAAGAGATTATAAAGCCCTTCACAAACAATGAATAACTACAATAATGTGCTAAATTGATATCTTCATATGTTATTATAAGCATGTCTAGATAATTTATTAATTAATTGAACTCATAATTAATCTAAGATCTGAGAAGATGTCTGACTTAATAAAAGAATATATATCTTTAAGATGAAGAAATGAGAAAATATCAGAGTAGTAAACATAAAATCATAGATTACTATTAATATTAATAATAAATCAGAAGACAGTTTCTGAGATATTTAAGCTGAATAAAATCATTACAGAGAAATAGTTTAATAAGTTTAATAAATATAAAGACTTAGTTAAAGATATCAGTGAGATATCAGATAATATAGAGAGCTTAAATAACTGAAATAACAATAGCTTAGTAAGTAAGAAAACTTATATAAGACTTGAAATTATAAGACTTCAGTATAAGATTAAGTGAATGAAAATTAATAAAGATAAGACTTTTATAAGTGATAAAATAAAAATAAATCTGACAGAATATTTTCAGTGAAAAGAGAAGATATCTATTATAATAAAAGTTCTTGAAGAATTTAGAAGTTAAGTAAGACTTATTAAAAGATTAATAGTTTTTACTAGATTTATTAACTACTTAATATAAAGAGAGAAAATTCTTCTAATTATAAAGTAGTCTGAAATTAATAATATTCTTAAAGATAATAATCTTAATAAGAATACTATTATAAATATATAATATTTTTGAAAAGAATATAATCTTTAATTATATAATTATATATAATCTGTAATTACTCTATAGATTAAGACTTATTTCACTATACTTAAGAAATTCAAGTTATTTACTTATACTCTATAAACTATTATAGAGAATAACTTTTCTGAGAGATCTATTATTTATAGAATCTATCTATTTAAGAAGCTAATTAGCATGACTACTAAGTTAAAAGACTTAGATTATACTTTTATTAAATATCTGATTATTACAAGAACTGATTATATTCATCTAGAATATAAGATTTCAGATATCATGTTTTTTAACAGACTGCTTATAGAAGTTAACAGAGATTGAGTCTTATTTATAAGAAATTAAATGAATTAAATTGATAAAGATAATACTTAATTCTTAGAGAATGATTTTATAAGTCTGTACTGTAATATTCTTTTACAGCTCTCTGCTATCAATGAGATAAGTACTGATATATATAGAAATTCTATCAATAACATACAAGACAAGAATAAGAAAGACAAGAATAAAGAGAAAGACAAGAATAAGAATATTGAATTTAAATCTGAATATAGAGATAATAATGTGAAGATATACTATTATTATTAAAAAGTTAATCATATTCAGACTAACTGTTGAAAGAAATACTCTGAGAAACATTCTTCAAATTTGAATTTCAACATCAATAGAAATAAGAATAAAGACAAGAATGTGAAGAATATAGATACTACTTCTGTTTATAATATTATAAAGTAAGTATTTTGTATTAAAGAAAAGATCTATATAAGTAATCAGATAGAAAAAGATATCTGAATTCTAGACTCTGAATTGAGTGCTCATGTTACATCTCACAGAGATCTTGTTATAATAAAATCTCAGAAGATGAAAGTGATATTAAAAATAACAGATGAAATGATAATCTCTGCTACAGCTATAGAAGATACAAAGATTTTAGTGAAAGAAGTAAATATACTATTAAATAATGTCTACTATGTTCTGAAGTTAAAAGTGAATCTTATGAGTATAAGTAAGTATATATATCAGAGTTATATCTATAAGCAGTTGATATATAAGAATAATTATACTATGTTAATTATATCTTCTGACTGCATATTCTCATTTACAGCAAGATTAAATGAGAATAATATCTATGAGATGAAAAGACTGATTATATACAGAGACTTGATTCAGTTTACTATACTTAATAATAACTTTAAATCTGTGAATATATTATAGATAAAAGAGGATACAATATTGATACTATCTGACAGAAATGATACAAAGATTATAGAATTTACAATGATATAATAATATTAAAAGCTAGAACATTTAAATTCTGTGAATATTGTAAAAATAATAGCAGATTCATATCTAGAGATGAGAATTATTAGTTAATAAGCTTTATCATTTTACAAAGTCTGTGTTCAGATAAAAATAATATATTCAATCTTTATATCTATGACATAAGCTGTTAAGCTAGTAATGAGATTCTTCATCAATCTGACAGAGAATGAAAAAACACTTTTCAATGAGAATAACACTCTCACTAGAGAGAGTGTAAGCTACTGATTAAATATAATAGATAATACAATCTGTTATAGATGAGTAATTCTTATAATAAGAAAGAGAGAATCTACTATAAGATTAATAAACTTCATTACAGATATTAAAATAATTACATAATATCAAGTTAAAATTCTACACTGAGATGATAAAGAAGAGTTTAAAAGTCAAGAACTTAAGACCTACTATCAGAGTAAAGAAATAATGTATGAAATGACTATATCTGATATATTATAATTAAATAACTCAGTGAAACACATGAATTGAATAATTATAGAAAAGATATAAAGCCTACTATTTAATAGTGAATTAGAAAGAGAACTTTGAGATGAAGTAGTATAAGCTGTGATTATAATGATTAATATATTCTCAATATTAATAAAGATATTTAAATGTAAGAAAGAAACATCATTTACATATTTTAAAGCATGAACTGAGATGCAATCTTCTATTCATTGAATACAGAGATGAGAGTGTAAGATCTATAAGAAGGATTTAAAAGTGTTAAATAAACTCACAGATAGAACTGATAGTAAGAAATAACAGCTGATTGAATACTAAAAATTATATTAATATTATATATGAGATTCTATTGTACATTGTCTTGAGATTGCATAAGATATCATATTTAATGAAGCTCTTAATATGAGTGTAAATACATCTGTAAATACAGTGAGAGAATTCAATGAATTATCTAATAAATTGAATATTCTGAATGTCAGAGAGAGATGATAACACTGTCTTCTAAGAAGACTTATAAAGAATAAATCAGATGTTTTAAAGATAATTATTAATAAGAACTTAGAGAATGTAATTAATTCAATCTATCTTCTAAATAATGAGACACAGCTTGTTATGAATGAAGAGTCTGAAGATTCTGTTAATAAGAATAATTCTGTTCTAAGTATTCTAACAGACTGATTAACTACACTAGTAGAAGTCAAGAGAAGCTCAGACTGAGACTATTAACATAAGATAATGAAAAAGAAGATTAAGATATTTGAATAGAAGAAGATATATATTATTATTAAAAAGACTCTGAAAATGAATATTCTTACAGATAAATGAGTATATAATCAGAAATTCAATAATAAGAGAGAAATCATTTATTTTAGAGTTCACTGAGTGATTAGAGAGTTCTTATAATAGCAGAATATTCATTATATAAGATTGTATACTGCAGTGATATCAGAGTCTACATTATATAATCTATTTACTATATTAACTACTAGAGAATGAAAGATTAAATTAACTGACTATATATTTATATTTTTAAATAATATATTATCTCAGAATAAGATAATCTATATGCAACTACTCACAGATGTTAAACA